CGTCAGATTCACCCGCAGACCGGCTGAGCATTACGCTTGGCCGCCGATAAGCCCTGGAAGCCCCTCTCCTGGCCCGCGATGGCCCCCATTCTCTGTCCTATTCTTATCTTGAAGAAATAGAGTATCCTGTACTCCGCATTGCGGACCTGCTCTAGTCGCTGGAGACGACAGGTTCCATGGAGCTTGGGCTGAGTTGAATGAGTCCAGCTGCTGTCTTGCTTTGACCGATATGCCTCTTGCATTTCTCGCCTGCAAGGGGTGAGACTGGCGCCACCTCTACGACGGTATTGATTTCACCCCACGCGAGCACAGCGTGAGTGTGCATCCATCCTTTGACGGCTGAGATGGCCGCATCCGGGTGGCTATCCCGACTGGCCGTGATGGTCATCTGTCCAACCTGGGCCAGCCCATCGAGCCGATGTAACATTCCCCAGATGCTGGAGAGTTGGCTACACGAGCGGTCTCACTTAGAGCCGATAACAGCTGTCTCCTGATTGTACCGTGGCCAAGAGAGCCATTAAATGAATGGCACAGGCCCTGCGCCTTCTGATACCGTGTGATCGCCTATTGGATGGACCTCACAGTGTTATCAGTTCTACTCGTAGGATCCTCGCTCATGCCAGTCTTCCAGAAGAATTCGCTGGTCTTGCTCGCAGCGGACAAGCCGATGGGGCAAATGTTGACACACCACCCAACACCACTTGACTGGAAGCTGCGATAAGACTCTTTATCTGCCTGTTCGCCTGCTTCCTGATAGCGAACCATAGCGAGTGGGCTGAGTGAGTTTGTCTTATCTGTTGTTCTAATTTGCCCCCTGCACCTCATTCATCAAATTGACTTCGGCTTCTCGGAAGCTGCAAGCTGACCTCACTAGGTTTCACGACCTCGACGGACAAGTCTTATATTAATCTTCCGTTGCCCGCCCAATTTCAAACGTGGTGTTTCTTCGCGTCTTCTTCCCCTTCACCCCATCTCTTTGCGCGTACACTCAGCCTTCTTCGTCGAGGTCATTCACGATGGACGACCACAGCAATGCACCTGCATACGAGACATCCAGTTCCAAGGAGAAGCATCTCGAGCCCACTGGCGACTGGGCTTCTCCTGATATCGACCATGGCGCCGAAACCGATCTGCACCGCTCGTTGTCGACGCGGCACCTGACCATGATTGCGCTTGGCTCCTCCATCGGAATGGGATTGTGGCTTGGAAGTGGAACTTCTCTAAGCAATGCTGGCCCAGCAGCGCTTCTGATTGGCTATCTCCTCAGTTGTACGATGATTTGGGCTGTCAGTCATTCGATTGGAGAGATGGCAGTCATGTATCCATTGCCGTCCGCGTTCACGCAGTGGACGTCGATCTTCATTGACCGGTCAATGGCCTTTTCCCTTGGCTGGGCGTACTGGTTCTCCTACTGGATCACAATCGCCAACGAGCTGCAGGTGTGTTGCTCTTGCTGTCTTGAATACACTGTTCACTGATCATTGAATGTGCAGGGCGTTGTTACTGTGCTTAGCTTCTGGACGACCAAAGTGCCTACAGCGGCCTGGATCACTATTTTCTGGATTGTTATTATTGCCGTCAACGTCGTCGCCGTGAGATTCTTCGGAGAGGTCGAAGTTACAGCCTCTACTATCAAGTTTGGCTGGATCTTTGTGGTGATTATCTCGTGCATCGGTGAGTGGTTCAAATTCCTCTGTGGCACAGTACAATATCCTGTTCCCAGGCTCACTTCTTTAGTCATTTCGGCTGGTGGCGCTCCTGCTGAGGGTCCGATCGGGTTCCGGTACTGGAACTCCTCGCCGTTCATCAACGGGTTCAAAGGATTCTTGTCCATTATGCCTACGTGTATCTTTGCAATGAGGTACTTAACCCCTACTATCTGGCTATACTTCAGGATAGCAAGGATTGGTTTTGAAGTTTGCCCAGACTGCTACTATTCTATATCTAGCTGACCCTTTTCCCTTAACACTTAGTGGTTCAGAAAACGCTGCTTTGGTCGCTGCTGAGACTGATAATCCACGCAAGGCTGTCCCCCGAGCTGTCGGGTCCATCTGGGTCCGCTTGTCTCTGTTCTACGTTCTGGGCTCCTTGATGATCACCATCACCGTCTCTCCCTACAACCAGGACCTTTTCGGTGGTAGCGGCGTTAATGCTTCACCCTTTGTTATAGCCTTCCGCAATGCTGGCTTGGAACCTCTAGCTCATATCATGAACGCGGTGATCTTCATATCAGTTTTGTCGACCGGCAGTATCTCGGCCTATGGTGGCTCGCGTACTTTGATGGGCTTGACACACCTGAATATGGCTCCCAAGGTTAGTGCCTCTCATTCCTTTCCTCCTACTATGCAGCGCTAGCGACTAATATGACCATCTGCGCCGCCCGGTCAGATCTTCGGCAAGGCCGACAAGCAGGGCCGTCCGATTGCAGGAATGGCCATAACCCTCCTCATTGGAGGCGGTCTCGCTTACCTCAACGTCTCTAACTCTGGCGCCAATGTCTTCACCTGGTTCTCCAACCTGACATCTCTCTTTACCCTTTTTGGCTGGGGTACGATATGTCTGTCGCACCTCCGCATGCGCTACGCCTGGAAGGTCCAGGGTCGATCGGTAGAGGATCTCCCCTGGAAGTCGTGGACATACCCCTACGGCGCCATCTGGGGTCTTGTTTGGTGCATCATCCTCATCATCGCGGAATTCTATCTGAGTGTATGGCCTCTCGGAGAAAGCCCCAGCGCGAAGAACTTCTTCGCCAACTATGTCTCTGTCGTTGCCATCGTGGTCCTGTACCTGGCGGCGCGATGCTACTACCGCGGGCCGTGGTGGGTGGATGCTCGCACGATTGACCTCGACGCCCCGAGACGGTTCTACGTGGATGGGCACGATGTCGAGACAAAGACGGAGCGGAAAGGGCCGACGAAGTATCTTCGTAAGGCAGTGGATGCCGTGTTTGATTAGAGAGGTAGGTGGTTGTACATAATATGCATTATCGTAGTTGATTCGTGGATTTATATCAACTTGCACTTCGGGTATTAGAACTTTCATAGAGTTAGCGTACGTACCATGCGGCATGAGAGGATATTTGTAGCGGTGTCAGTTTTGTGAAAGTCCAACCATTTTTACCTCGTTAAATTTATGCCAGAATAGGAATAAGTGATAATAATCTTTTCTGTTGCTATATCCCACCTTTTCACTTCCATGCAGCTTATTTCTGCCATTGTATCCTCTGTATCGACTTGGAAGATAGGTATTTACCTATGAAGAAATGTCGTGCATGCTCTCCGTAGGGCGCCCACTTTAGGAGACCAGCAGGGCGGGCCCGCATCTGCCCCTTCCCGACCCATTCACTCACTGCTTCTCAACCCCGTGTTGCTTTCTTTCCTTCATAGTCTTGATAGAAGCTTGCGACCGAGAGAGCACTTCATGATCTTGTCTGCCGATTGCCTCGGGACTTGAGGTGCCCATATTACACAAGACTTATACCACTCTCTTCAGTCCCAATGCGAGTGTTCGAAGCTTCCTCTTGTCATCGAAGCAATCGCCTCGATACTAATTCTGTCCAGAAATAGAATCTCTTGTAATCACGAGTCAACCGACATCTAATCAAGCCCTACATGTAGTCGGTAAGTCGTTCTTTAGATCCTCATTTTCGCATTTTCCTCCTCACAAGTTTCGCTCACATCAACGGGAGGATGTTGATGCTCAGGCTTGGAGGCAGAATTGCTGCCATAACATCGATTGTCTCCATATGGAAAGTATATCCACGAAGGGGGTAATGATTTCATTTCACAACAACTTTGGGTAAACTTGCACAATATTCAGCTTGCAGCCATGCCTGGGGTTGCGTTACGCGAGTGTTGTGGGGGAATGATAAAGACAATCACCGCATGGCCACATTGTCTGATCATAGTCATCAATTAAAAAGGAACATCTACCTACATGAGTGGTCTCGGATGCATGTCTTTACCTGTGATGGGTCATAGTCTCTCTGCGCTTCACATTCAATAGAATTTCCACTGATTAAAGCTGGCGGTCAGGAATCTGGGTCTGACCGGACTCAGGCTCCAGTTGCAGATTAAGCAAAACAGGATCACCCTCCAGGCTCTTACGAGACGGAGAAATAGAAGAGAGGAAGTATTCCATGCCGTGTCCATTCTAAATGCGGAGTCATTGCCGAATAGCCCGCGGAGATTGTATATTGGGACTAACCTGGCTAGGGGATCATTAATTCTGCATAAGCAAGAAAAAGTGGTAAGGGGATCGGTTTGCACCATGACCCTAATATGAGTCAAACATAGTAATATACTCAGGGTCTCAGGCTATTCTGCCATTCGGCTGGATAAATTATTTTGCGAATTGTTGAGAAGTGCGGCAAAACCAAGCTTTCGGCAAGCGGCAGTGTATGCCGAACCACTTCCGCTGATGCTCTCCATACCTTTCTCCCACTCGCATACCTACGATGAACAACGCCTCACACATGAGCCATGTTTCTTGCTACACTCGAGGGCGATCAGCAGAGCTGTCTTCTCTCTTGTTCTTCTGCAGCTTTTGCACTCCTTTACATCACACCCAAAACAGCAGTGATCCACGGCTCAGGGGCTTGGTTTGAAACCTGGATGGAGCAAACGTGTCGGATTGAAACTAGAGGCCTTGCTCAGACCACTTCTTCTCCACAAGGGACCAGCACCCTACTGCTGTTGCTGAATTCTCCCGGTAGGGCGGACTCCGTGTTGTCCTGAAACGTCCTCTGATTCTCTCCTGTACTGTTTTTAGTGCGGGACGTTGTGAACTCGAAACACATTCATCCCACGTATGGCCATGAAGAGCCGTTCTCGGACTAATCTCCGTGGTGGATGTGGCCCCTTTCATTCTAGAACTCCTAGAGCTGTCGAGCGATATCATCCTATAAAGCCTGTTGTCAGTCGCTCGTTTTAATCGCTCAGTACCCTCGTGCAACCCTGTCAGCCACCACCTCAAATCATTCCACTCACCTCTCCGTCAAAATGCTTCGTCTCGAAACCCTCGCTGCCCTCGCCGTCCTCGGCCTGGCCAACGCTCAGTCTACCGTTGGCTTCGGCCCCTACTTCAGCCTGGGTCCTACTCAGAGCTGGATCCGCGAGGCCACGACCACTCTTGTGCTCCCCGAAGTTCCCAGCCCCGTCGCGGACCGTCTCGCCTTGTGGCCCGGCATGGGCACCAGCGGTGGTGACCTGATCCAGGCGCTTGCTGTTTCTTTCTCCGACCCCAATGCGTACGTCATAGAGACCGATAATCCTGGCCGAACCATTGGACACAATACTGACGGCATCTAGCAACTGCGGCGGTACTTCCGGCCAGTGGTGCATCTGGGCCAGCACCCTCGAGGGTAAGTCTTCCCGAGGTCATGATCGAAAGGGTTCTAAAGATGAGCAGGAACGCAGCTTGGTGGCACCCAAGTTCCGGCCAATGCCGGTGACAACGTGACCATGGAATGTACGTTCACCTCTCCGTTCCCTGCACGATAGCTATTGACAATTCTCAGACAAGTACAACGATTCCACCGCCAAGTACGATCAGACCGTTTCCCTCAACGGCAAGGTCGTCTCAACTCTGTCGACCAGTATGTTTTCCGATCATCTGTCCCCAACCGCGATTGCTAACAATTCACAGGCTCCGGCCAAGCCCAGGGCTGGGGCACCGCCGTCGAATGCCAGGACGATGCCTGCAAGAGCACCGCTCGCGCTCACCGTGAGTTCCCCCAGCCCTTTACTCCCGATTTTCCCGGAAGACATCTAACCATGAGAACAGAGTACATCGACACCACGATCGTCCTGAACGCCGCGGACAGCACCTTCGCCGGCACCCTGGCCACCAACGAGGTCACCTCCACCGGCCTGAAGACCTCCGACTCCAAGACCTTCACCGTCGAGACTATCAACGTCCAGGCCCACACCTATGATATCTAAATGGGGCCATGAGATAAGTTGTATTTTTAGTATATGCTGGCGAGACTATGTCGAATAACAATTGAGCTCTGCGAGCGGTTGCGGAATCTGTGTAAATTATATATTATGCGACAATGTAGAGAACTGTGGAAGTCAGTAAGAGGCTGGAGTTGCGACTTTTTTAGAAGGATGGAGAGTGACTGTCGAGCTCTCGGCCGATTGATTGGGGTCCCTGAACTGTGGTCACCTGGCTGTTGGCCCCTGGGACTATTTCAGGCCCGAACACAACCAGAGACTGCAGACAAGCGCACTTGCTGCCGGGTTATCTGGCGCGCGGGATTGTCCCTGGCGTAATCAGTCGATTTCGAGAGTGGGCCAGATGGGTATGCTGTAAGAGAGCTGGAAGCTCGAAGAAGGTGCCAAGTGAGAGATACAATTTCAAACCGCTTGTGCATACTGCCCTTGAGCTCATCTGAGCATCATCCCAATTTGTATCTACTATCTTGTGCATTTCAACCTTGCAGAGGGCTCCTTACTTCAAGTAAAAGCTATCTTGATGAGTGTTCTAGGAATAACGTTCCCCGCGTGCTTAGTAGAGGGCCAGTGGATGGGAGAAAAATCAGCGGTCCTGATCTCAACTCAAGGGAAGATGTCAAAAGCAGCGACACCTGCAATTCGAAGAGGCTCATTTTCGGCCAGCCGATCATGTTGCCGCCGAGTTGAGCGCTTACTCCATTAATGGCGGACGCGTTGAGACTGGGCGATTGACCGATTCGATTGACAGGTCATATGAGAACGGCATTGCAATCGGTTCCAGCTGAGATCACGGTTCGCCCATGCCATTGTCATCTTGTACCCTTTGTGCGACCGCGGTTACTACGAATATATACTAGTAGGCGGATGTGACACTGTGACAATGACGTGCATGAAGCGCTCGGAGTATTCATCCGTGCCAGAAGGGCGACTGGATCTCTGGGTCTGGTTAGATTCCGATTTCCAAGTCATAATAAAAGTCGGGAGCGTGCTCATCAATGGCGGCAGGGCAAAAGGTGTGCTGCTGCATTGGATGTCATCATCCATGATGGATCATGGATCGAGGATCCACCTACCTATTAGAAGCTGCTATTGCTGTGAGGCGACGAGCTAATCCCAGATGAGAAAGTCCGCAAATGCCCGATCGGGAGGTCACGGGGTTTATCTTATCGCTTATCAGCTGACCATTCCCCAGCTTGTTTGTCCCCAACCTCCTCGGCTCCCTGTCTCTTCCTCTTCACTTCAGTCACTCACTCTTCGACCAATCGACCTAACTCTACATTCAACATCGACTTGAGCTTACCATGAAGCTCGCTCTCCTTCCCGCCCTTCTTGGGCCGGCCGGAGCTCTTCAATTGCCCCTGTTTCAAGCTTCTTCGTCGCAGTCTGAGCTCTCTACATCGAGCAAGCAGCTTATCGACTCTGAGCTGCTGCAGAAACAAGTCAAAGCCGAGAACCTCCTCAAAAGAGCCGAGGAGCTCTACGAGATTGCAAAGCTCGGAGAGGAGGAATATCAACACCCAACCCGTGTCATTGGCAGCAAAGGTACGCGCCTCACCCATCCCCGCTGCTCCTGTGACTCACCTACTAACCTTCAATCTGCTAGGTCACCTCGGAACCTTAGATTACATCTACTCCACCCTTGTCGAGCTCGGCGACTACTACACCATCACCAATCAATCCTTTCCTGCGGTGACCGGAAATGTCTTCGAGTCGCGCCTCGTCCTGGGCCACACGGTGCCCTCCTCAGCTACCCCGATGGGGCTGACGCCTCCCACAAAAGACAGAGAGCCTGTCTACGGTCCGTTGGTGGCAGTCGCCAATCATGGATGCGAGTCATCCGACTACCCTGACAATCTTTCTGGTGCCATTGCATTCATTTCTCGAGGCACCTGTCCGTTCGGAACCAAGTCCGACCTGGCTGGCAAAGCAGGCGCCATCGCGGCAGTGGTGTACAATAACGAGAAGGGCGACCTCTCTGGAACTCTGGGCACTCCCACCCCAGATCATGTTGCCACCTTCGGCATCTCAGACAGTGATGCGGCACCTGTTCTGGAGCAGTTGAATAAAGGCGAGAAGGTGGATGGCATTGCCTACATTGATGGCATTGTGGAAACAATCATCACTACAAACATTATCGCACAGACTGTCGAAGGAGACCAAAATAACTGTGTCATGGCTGGAGCCCACAGTGACAGTGTAGCCGAAGGCCCCGGTATCAATGACGACGGCTCTGGTACTCTGACTCTCTTGGAACTGGCAACAAAACTCATCCAGTTCAGCGTCAACAACTGCGTGCGCCTTGCTTGGTGGGCTGGAGAAGAAGAAGGTCTCCTGGGTAGTGATTACTATGTGAGCCAGCTGACTCCGGAGGAGAATCGCAAAATACGCCAGTTTCAAGACTATGATATGCTGGCCGGGCCCAATTTCGCGTACCAGGTCTACAACGCCACTAACGCCGTCAATCCGGTGGGCTCGGAGGAGCTCCGTGACCTGTACGTTGATTTTTACGAGGCCCACGACCTCAACTACACCTACATCCCCTTCGACGGCCGCAGCGACTACGACGCCTTTATTCGCAATGGCATTCCCGGAGGCGGTGTCGCCACCGGCGCAGAAGGTGTTAAGACCAAGGAAGAGGAAGAGATGTTTGGTGGTAAAGCCGGAGAGTGGTACGATCCCAACTACCATCAGATTGAAGATGACGTCTCGAACGTCAACCTTACAGCTTGGGAGGTTAACACCAAGGTACGTATCCTTCCGTAGTTGGCGATGTTTTATTATGGCTGACACACTTTAGCTCGTGGCGCATTCTATTGCCACATACGCGCTGTCGTTCGAGGGCTTCCCTGAGCGCACCGATGCTGATGTCAGCACTTTCTCTCACGAGCCGCGGAAGTACCGCGGCCACCGCCTGCAAATGTGATCGATAATAGACTACAGATCTCTTCATCATTTTTGGCTAGATAGAGTCTTGTCTGATGCTTTCTTTTGAGTTACTTGGTTAGATGAATGAACATTTTTGGGACAATCTATATTTGGCACCGACAACCTTTGTTTTGTTGACTTTAGACACAGTTAAGTGGCGGAGCGCGTTGATAGAGCCTGCCATTATTTTCTAGTTTTCTATGCTTCTAAAGACACTTGATAGGGATTTACCAAGCAGCCCACAGTGGCAAACCAGGCCAGAGATCCGTTCCTAACCCGGCCATCTCCCCCGCATCAAATAACCCAAACTCCTCGACACCATGCGTCAGGAAATCCTGCATGAGCGGCTGATCCAGCACCATATAAGCGGACTCTGCCGCTGCGCCTCCAGCATCGAAATGACACGTACTCGGGAGACAGTCAGCCTGTCCACCGGAGGAAAGCACTGCAGGGGATGGAGCATGTACCGAAGGAGAAGCGGCGGAAAGCGATAACCCCTGCTGCTTCGCCACCCGCGGTGCAAACCGTCCACTCCGCAGACAGTGCTGCGCCCGCACAAGATGATGGAACAGGTCATCCGCGACGAGGGTGCCATTCGCGACCAAGGAGCTCAACATCTCGATGGCGGCCTCCACGCATGTGAGGTCCTCTGCTGTGCCACCTGGTAGCAGGTTTGAGATGAGCAGAATCAGGGCGGCAGTGAAGATGTACTGCGCGAAGGCGTAGCCGTAGGTCGAGGAGGCGCCGTTCGTCCATTCGTTCATGCAGAGGGTTAGAGTGTGGCGGGCGGAATGAATGCATGCGTCTTTGAGAGCGGCGAGGGTTGCAGGGATGGCGGGCTCATCGGGAACGGGGGTTGGCGCAAGGTGGTCGAGGAAAGTGAGTAGGATTGGGCGGATGGCGAGGATGACGCACTGTGTTGAATGGGTCAGCTTTCGGTTATAACGGGAGATGGATGAGAATGGTGCATTTGGGATTGTGCCTGGCGGTATGGAGGCGGAGGTGGTCGGGTAGGGATTGCGTCCATTGCTGCAGGTTGAGAAAGATCCTTTGCTCCCGCTGGAGGAACGTCTCGGTGAAGTTGCTGCGGCTGTAGATCGTGTGCATGATTGTGCTGCAGATTCGGGCAAGTCTGACGAATGCGACTTGGTATGAGCTGTCAACGAACTCGTTGTGGTAATTCTCGGAGTCGAGGTTCGTGGGCAGGTCAACGTGGATAGCTTCATCGTTGATCTGCACTGGCAGGCCTAGCTTAAGGCTCCAGGACCGATCAAAGACGTAGATTGTCCACCACAAACGCACACGATGTTCTCGCGCAATCCGATCAGGGCATTGGGTAACCGGGATGTTGTGGTTCAAGCCAACGAGCAGAGCGAAGCGCAGTGCGTTGCCGACCATGAGGTAGGCGGAGTGCTGTCGGTTGAGGGACTGGTTATAGAGCGCCTGGGAAGTCAGCGCATGATGGCGACACTGAGAGATGAGCTTACCAATATCAGAAGAGCCTCGATGTGGATGATGGTAGGTCGCTCTGGTAGCACGGGCATCAGACCGATGGCGTGAGCATAGTAGGCCATCCCTGGCACTGTGCCCTTTTCTCCTCCATCATTGTGGAATGAGTAGACTTCCCCCAAGGCAAAAAGAGCAAAGTACTTGCACAAAAAGATCGGGTCATTGAAGAGACCTTGCTCGTAGATGTGTTGGAGGTGGTCGAGGGTGGATTTCCGTAAGGCGAGATGAAAGGGTGGGTTTGCGTGGCCCAGCGCGGTGTTGACCAGCAACCGAGCACGGGCTAAACTGGGCCATTGGATCCCAGAATGGGCCACTTGGCTGAGGGTTGATTCTGTGATAAATCGCGTGCGGGGAATATGCGGCACTGCGCTTTTGTTGCCGTCGAGGCATTGGCACAGACATGTGGCGAAGCCCGTACATGCTGCCTCGCTAACATAAATGGGAAGTGCCAACCCCTCATGGGCCTGAAACCACGGCCGGTCTTCAAGCAGCGGATTCCGAGTCTTTGTGTCGCCTCCTTCTGTTGAAAAAGGGTGCTGGTTTATGGTGGGGAGGACACGGCTTTTGGACCTCAGTCGGTGCTGACGCAGCTCTTCACTGTCTCGAATCAATTGTTCCAGATAACTAGTGGCAGGTCAGCGCGGGGCTGTTCTGCATCGGTAGCAGCTGCCTACCTTTCGTCAATGCGCACTTTGCGGTCGCGGAATACGTAACTGCATTCATTCCCACGTCTCGCCATGTGGCATCGGGAGCAGGGTCTTCCGCCAGAGCATTTAACCTTTTGAGCATGGCATCTTTGGCATCTGGTTCCTTCGTGTGGTTAGAGCGTGGAATTGAATGTGGGCATTGAGACTCACGCTACAGGTCTTTTGATTCCTAAGGAGTTTCGCGAATGCTGCAGTGACCCCTGCGATTTCTGCGCCGAGTTCCCGGCCTGCATGACATGATAATAGACGCCTGGAAATTGATACTGCTCTACCACGCACTCCACTAGTTGCGGAGATTCTTCAAGGGGAAAAGTTTTCGATCGGCCAGATTTACGCCTACCGACGCTGGCTCTTTCCGATTGGTTTTGGAAGAGGGAGAGAGAATCCGCTTGTGCTCGATATTCTCATATGACTGGCTAAAACAGTGAATGAGTGGGCCTTGTTCTCCAGGCTTGGTCTAGCGTACGGATAACTCTAAACTGGCCGAAAAGCCCCACGAGGCCTGCAGCAACTGGAGTCACATAAATTCCCATCTATACCTCCTCGACAGCTTTACTTCTGCTCTCCCTTGAAATTACCCAGTCCTTTCCTCTTCTCTTCAACCTCGTCATCGCTGCGAGCATAAGTCTGTCCAATACCCATCTATCCACCGAGCGACCAACCACCACATCCAATGATCTCAACAACCACCAACGCATACACCCTCCGCCACCACCGGCCAGGAGACATGGGCTGGATCGTCCACCGCCACGGCGCCTTGTATGCCCAAGAATACGGCTGGAACGAGCGCTTCGAGGCCCTCGTCGCCGGCGTCACCGTCGACTTCATTGAAAACTACGACCCCGCCCGCGAACGCTGCTGGATCGCCGACGACCGCGATGGCCAATTCCTGGGCTGCGTCATGCTGGTCAACGACCGAACCTCTAACGAAAATGCTGCCAAGCTCCGGTTACTGCTGGTGGAACCCAGCGCCCGGGGGCTGGGGCTGGGGCGAGCCTTGATCCGTCAATGCACGGAGTTTGCGCGCGAGGCGGGGTATGCGCGCATTCGGCTGTGGACGAATAGTGTTCTCGTGTCGGCGCGGCGGCTGTATGAAAAGGAAGGATATCGGCTCGTCTCGACGGAGGAGGATGAGAAGTTGGGGTTCAAGTCGACGGGGGAGTTTTGGGAGTTGGTGCTTTAGGTTTCTTGGGTGGGATATAGATTGTGTTGGCATTGTTCTCATACTTCCTTCTCTACTACTTTTAGCCATAATTCAACCGTGATTACTGAGAATTGGTAATTCAAATGCAACAAAGATCATCATGCTCATGACAAGAGGATACCCTAAGCACGATCTCTACCAGCAATCTCTAGCCCCACGGTATATCTCACCTAGTAAGAAGTTGCCCATTAGCCTGTTTCATCAATGCCATTCATATTGAATAGACGAGTCATACTGTTAGATATCCAGATATTGAATAATCTTCCATATAAAAGAAGGCTGCTACGTAGCCAAGATTGACATACTTCAACTGTGATACATTGAATAATTACATTTACTGAAACTATTTTTTCATCTGATGTAGAAGGTTGGCCCTAGCTGAGAATTATTCACCTGGGCTCTTTAGATTGAATCTTGTAATGATGCCATTCATTTAAATAAGACATCCGGTCAATCCATAGCTACTATTTTGGCTGTCATTGAATACTGTAGCTCAAGTCTTGGAGCCCTGCCTACCCAGGTCCTCTTCCTGTCTCTCTTCCACTTCATCTTCCTCTCCTAACTCTCCTTCCATCATGGACTTCCTCTCCACTCTCATTCTTATTCCCAAATGTAATTACCCGTCCACTTCCAATCCCTCTTTTGATCTTTCCCTTCTATGAAACACACACGACTATGTTTGGAGCTCATCCAAGACCTTTGTTGTTTGTTTAATGTACTCCTCGATACATCTGAATGTGTTTCCATCACGAATTACATGATTTCGTTTTACTATGAAGCCTTTCCAGATAACCTAAGTAGTTATCATGACTCGGTCGGTTTAGCTATCTTGGTTAGTAAGTTCTCGTCCCTTCAGCATCATGCCTCTTTCCCCGCCGATTCATACATTCAGCTCTTGCGGCCTTGGTTTATGTGAAATGCTAACTGATATTAGAAACTAGGTAGTTTCGGCCGATGCGAGGCTGTACACGAGCAAAAAGGCAGAGAGAAGCTCTGTCTCATCTCGAAGGGTTATTGAGTTTTACCATTTCTGAGCTTGAGATATCCCGAAGATTACTCATGTGTACGTCTCTGTTGAGCGTTCATGCTGCCAACCCCGTGGTCGGAATGCCACTCAGACATAGATCGACGGCCTGTCTACATGACGGGTTCAAGTTACCTGCGCAATCCTAATCAGGGCAATTTATCGACCTGGTCAAGTGAGCGGCGATGACGATGATCGTCTTCAGCCAGTCATTTCCATGGCCCTAGTATTGAGAGGTTTGTTGCTGATCTAGGGGACTTTACCATCTCAAGGGCCTTTGAGCCTCGTAACAGGGCATTACCTATCTCTCAGCCTCTACGCGGACACCGTTGGGCAGCGCATTGTGCAAACTGTCGGCGGCCGCTAGGTATGTGGACTATCTTGCCGTACCCACTACTAGACTATATAGTCGAAAATATATGCGGCAGCTGTGACTATCGATACAAGAAGAATGGGTGCTTTCCTCCCCCATATTTCCGAGAGCAAGAAGCGGAGGCAAAACGCATTCACAAGGAAGCGAGGTCCAAATGTGTCAATTGTGGACACGAAATTACGGCGAGGTCCTTGGCAGCACAACCTGAAGAGGGTCATGAAAGTGAGTATATTTATTCTAGGGGTTTCAAGTGGCATATTAATCTATGATAGAAAGTCCGCTGTTATTATTGCAATGAAATGGGACACATAAAAGCCAATTGTCATAGCTATCATCGGGATTTGTTCGCTCTAGACCGGGTAGGTTTTCCCCTTTTCCACAGCAGATTATTGTATATGCTAAGAAGTACTGCTATTAGGGTCGTTCTATCGCGCAAGAGCTTCGCGCTCGCAACCGCCGTTGGCGAGAGCAGCAGCAGCAACAACAGCAGCAGGACATCGCTGCCCCTTGCCGGGGATATGAACGCTATGTTGCGTGAGCTCGATAGATTGCGAGCGCGAAACGCGTACCTCAAAGCTCGCCATAATATAGAGGAAGAAGAGAACAATTTCAACTTCGAGGTCGACGGTGGTGAAGCTTAGCTTTTTTTGTCGTTGATCTTCGGTGGTTCCAATGATCTTTAAATATGATAATCTGATTGACGTTGCAGCAACTCCGGTCTGTCTAGAAGGTGGTAAGCAACTAAGATAGCTCCCTGCACTTGACTATCCAGAAGCTGATGTTGCATTTTAAGGAGCGCAGAAATCTGCAAGCGAATCCTAAGGCCATCCTCTACACCCTCTATCAAAAAGCGGAAGCGTATCTACAACCCAAAGAACAAGCCTGGTACAGACGTATCCACACTACGGCTGACACTGTCCGATCTGCGATGGGACGCGAACAGTTCACCGATAAAAGTACTAGACTGATCTCGAAACCTCAGAACTCAAGCGCCTGGTCCAAAGCGCACCGTTCGAGTGAATCCTATGGCACTGGAAGCTCCACCAAAAGTCTTCGAACCCGTAAGCCCCAGTCCTTATTGAGAGACATATACCACTATCTCCCACATCCGCCCCGTATTTGATCCGACAACAACTGGACTCAGAACATGTCACACCATGGTAAAGGCTTGGATATCTCGTCATGATATCCGTTCCACAATGTACGTCAAGAAGAAAGATTTACCACGTGTTCATTGAATGAAATCACACGCTACGAATTATTCGGTCGTCATGGAAATGATTTGCTGTTATATCATGAGCTGGACCGCATACAGGTAATCTTCGAGTTTCTATTCCATACCATACGTGCATAGAGCAAAGTGTACAGGCAGATACATTGTTATATTGTAGATAATATTTCGAAGATAAAAAACATCGCCAAATGCTTCTAACATGTGATACCTCGATCCCTGCCGTGCACATGTGCTGTTTTATATATACAGGGAAGCTCATCTTCGAGGATGATGATGTACAATCATGGGACGTCGATCAGAACGCACATTCCGTGAAGAAAGTCACCACCTCGGTGGTGTAAATGGTGGAATACAGAGTCTCAACCTCGTCCGGCACACTGGATGGTGCGGGTGCAGCGCTGGTCATAGGGGTGACGGTGGCGGAGGATCTGGTGCTGACAATGGATGACGAGGTCGCCAAAGGGCTTCCGGATGACTGTGAAAGGGTGGCGGGAGCTGAGGAGCTCGAACGTGCTGATGTGGGCGGTAAGAGAACCGGAGCACTCGACGCAGAGGGTATGAGATGCACCGAGGTCGATGGGGTAGGAGTTGGGTTGTCAACCAGAGTCGAAGTGGGAGTGGGGGTGGGAGTGAGGGTCGAGACAATCAAGGATGTATACGCGGTAGTCGAGGTGCGCGTCAAAGTCTCCGGAACATACGAGGTCACTCGCGAGGTACAGGGATCGAAAAGAAAGAGCTCGGCGGCCAGAACACTGCTCGAGACTGGCACCAATTCCAGCGACCCAGCAAGGATCCGGCAGGTTTCGCTGTCGTCCCAGTTGATGCCCGCGCAGTTGCTGTAGTGGGTGCAGGCATCACTGCATTGGTCGATGGTGACCCACGAATAGGTCATCTTGGTGGTACTGGCACTGTAGGCGGAGGTAGTGCACGTGGCCGACCAGTAGTTTCCTGCATCATACCAGATGGTATTGGCACAACCCGTCGGAGCGACAGTACCCCAGGTGCAGGTGCTGGTGATGGAGACGCTCGGGATGGAGGTGGTGATAGTCGTTACCGCGGTGCTGGTGTAGCTCGAGGTGAGGGTCACTACTGAAGGGCTGGCTCCACTCAGCTGCAGTGCGGCGAGGAGAACCAAGGTCGAGCTCAAGAGCCGGACCATGTTGCGAAGAGACGATTGTCAGTGAGATGAAGGGATCCAACTGCCTTCAATTCCTTGCCAAAGGGGAAACCCAGGAGATCAAATAGTTCACACAGTACGAGCCAGTGTGGATACTTTTTTTCTTTCTATCGACACTCCTCCTAGTGGACTAATGAGGAGGGTAGATTTCAGCCAACCTGTCGGCTGGATTAACCGGAATTGCGCTGGCAATGAAGCCGCACCCGCAAATAGCCTCCATCTAGTCGGTTCTAGTCAGGAGAGTTGTAAGAAAACGAGAGAAACTAGCCGAGATTTGTGAAGCAATGCTTTTCCCAGGTTTTGCCAAGGGTCCAAGTACCGGTGGCAGCCATTGCAGCTGTAAGTTGGGCCCGACCGGCCATCCGTGAGTTATTTGTGATTGGGGTCCGGGTACTACGAGGCTGGATATACAGTACAATCCCCGGGTGGGGTCTTTCTTCTGTTGTACCACATTCTCTCATCACGTTTGCACCATAAGTTAATCATCGCTTGCCACGAAGTCTGGCCACGTGATGGTTCGAATACCTTCCACCAAGTCGGTAAGTTCTCCCCATCAACAACAAGATCAACAAATCGATTTCAAACCAATCTCTTCTGTCTGAAAGATAAACCCCGCGGTATTTACAGAGGTTCTCGGTTTCAAGATTCACGTACGATAAAGGCCTGTCCAGTCACCGATATACCATGATCTGCCTGTCCTACTATGCTAACCATTACGATGCTAAATACACAGATCAAATCGACTACATGGTCTTCACACGCTACGCGACCGCAACGAAAAAGTTTGTCTCGCCCTCTTTCGCCTCAACCTGGCTTTTCTTCACCAAGTCATCTCCCACCAGCAATCGCAGCTTCTCCGCTGTGGCCGGGCTATCGAGCGCCAATGCTTCCTGCACGCCATTCTGCTCACGAGCACTACGCAAGGCATCGCGGAGCGCAAACAGTACGGTCGACCCCAAAAATAGCGGCGGTTCTCCAATACCCTTGCTTGACTGGATCGACCGCAGGTGGGACCACGACACACCCTGCAAGAAACTCACATTGAACTCCTGCGGGATGTCACTGAAGCCAGGGATCTTGTACGTCCCGGGGCCTCGCGTCGCCAGCTGCCCACTGCGGCTCCACAAACTCTCCTCCATAGTGAAGAGACCTTGACCCTGCACGAACGCCCCCTCGATTTGTCCATAGTCGATGGCCGGGTTGATCGAGCGTCCAACATCCATCTTGATGTCCGTCCGCAGCACCGTGTGATCGCCCGTTAGCAGGTCCAACTCGACTTCAGTGCATGCTACACCCTGCGTGAAATAGTAGTACATTGGCTTCACAGTCGCAACATCGTAGTTTCCCCATTGATACCCGATTTTAGGCATCTTCCAGAATCCGCTGGCCGCTAAGTTGACTCGATCGCGATACGCTGCGTGCGCCATCTGCGCCATCGTCGCGTCAGGACCGAATCGCTCTCGATACGGCTTCAGCCGTTCGTTCAACTGGTCGCAGGCATCTTGAATTGCCATTCCATTCAGATCGCTGCCAGAGGACGCGGCTGTCGGTGAGGCATTGGCTGTCTGATAAGACGAGGTGTCTTGCGTAAACACACTCTCAAATGGGACTCCCAGCGCCTGCGCCGCGACTTGGGCCATCTTCGTGTACAGCCCTTGACCCATTTCTGTTCCGCCGTGGTTAAGCAGTACTGATCCATCTGTATAGATCTTGACCGATGCAGCAGCTTGGTTCAGATGCAAGGCTGTGGCGAACGATATCCCGAACTTGCTAGGGATCAAGCAGATACCCCGTTTGCGCCAGCGATGTGTGGCATTGAACCTTACGATTTGCTCTCTCCGCTCGTCATATCTGGCCTCTTTGCGCACCTGTTCTAACAGCATCGGCACATGCCAATCTTCGTCAATCTGCTGTAGGAAGGGTGTCCGCTGCCCGATAGTGTATAGATTACGTCTCCGCAGCTCATCCACGGGGATTTCTAGCCCCTCAGCAATCGCGTTCATTATCGTTTCGGTGAAGAACATGCTCTGAGGAGCACCAAACCCACGGAAGGCCGTATTGCTATGGGTATTGGTTCGACACACCCATCCCCGGATATGCACATTCGGGATCTCATAGCAATTGTCCAAATGCGTACAGCAGCGGTCCATCACCGCCCCGCTCATGTCAGTGGACCAGCCTGCATTGTTGTAACAGTCGGCAGATAACGCGATAAGCTTTCCTTCATTGGTGACACCAACCTTCCAGCGACACTGAACCGGATGTCGCTGTCCGGTAGTCATCATGTCCTCATCTCTGGGAAGCATCGCACGCACCGGTCGGCGGGCTTTCTTGGCTGCGATGGCTACCAGGCAAGCTAGCTGCACGCTTCGCGATTCTTTGCCTCCAAAAGCGCCACCCATCCGTTTGACTCGTGCGTTGATGCGGTTAGCGGGAACTCCTGTTACTTGACTGACGAAGTCTTGGGTTTCCATACTACAATAATTTTAGCATGCTCGGCGGACAATTTGCGCAATGGTGTGGGCTGGACAACATACGTGTTCTGCGTTGATGACCAGATTTCCATTCCACCGTCTTCCGTACTCGGGATCGCCATGGCAGCATTCGTCTCAAGGTAGAAATGCTCCTGTCCGCCTATCCGTGTTACCCCCGAAAAGGTTCGGTCGCATCTGCGAAATACTGCGTCCATTTCCGCCGGCGGCGCACCTTTGCGCAGTTCTTTGCCGTGTGAGAAGAAGCTCTTCGCTGCAATTGCGTCATCGATGGTGAGAATAGCCGGAAGATCTTCATACTCGACCTTTACGGCTTTCGCAGCTGCCTGGGCCTGGATAGCCGTCTCGGCATACACCATCCCGATAGGCTGGCCGTGCGACAGTACCTCATCGATCGCAAAGAAAGGTTCATCGTGCACAACTGATCCCCAAAGGTTCTTCTCGATCGGGATGCTCGTGTGATCAATGTAGCCGGTCGCTAGTCCTGGCGCAAGAGCAGGTGTCCAGTCAACGGATACAAGTTTGGCATGCGCATGTTGGGAGAGAACCAATGCTCCGAATAGTTGTCGGTGTTGGGGTGGCATATCATCGAGGTATTCTGCCTCGCCGGTGGTATGTTTGAGCCCGGAGAGGTGAGGGAGTGCCTTCCCCACCACCCGTTGCTCGTGCGGATTGATATCATCCCGGGTACCGTAAGAGATCTTGCGGTGGATCTCGTCTGTCAGATCGGAGGGAATAGGAGCGGCGAGTTGATATTCGGCGATAACTTCGTGCCAGAAGCGGAAGAAGAATGAAACAGCCAGTGTCCGGCGGTAAGTTGCCATCCCACCCGGAACGCCGAATACAAGATCAAAGTCCGCGAGAAGCGCATCCACCGTCGCATCAAGAACGGCCTGCGTTCCCCATTTCTTGCCCTTGAGGGTAGCACTAGCTCGGTGGGCAAGCACGGTGGTCGGTGCCATCCCGCCGTACGCGAGAGAAGCACTTTCAACGGTGTTGTCGCTTGCCAGGCGGACGCGGAAGGCGGCAGTCACGATGGCGATGTCATCATCTTTTCGCTTAGCTTGTTTGTATGATTTCGTGATCTCGCGACATTCCGAAGATGGCAACGGAACGCGGATTTCAGTGATTAGGCTGCCCTTTGGCAGGGCGGTCTTGCGATAACCCAGAAACATATTCTCCATGGCCAGGGCTTGCTCCTCCTCACGGGTGCGCGCAATAACTGTGGCGTTCACTGCGAGAAGTAGCGGGTTCATGTCTGAGATGGGAGAGGCCGTCGCAATGTTTCCCGCTAGTGAGGCTGCGTTGCGGATCTGTCGCCCAGCAAAGTACCGGAGCACCTTAGCCATGGCCGATAGTACTGAGCCGGAAGAACCCAGGATTGGAGCAAGGCGCTGGCATTCTTCCTCCACATCAGTGAGAGAAGCATTTCCACCAATTATCAGCTCCTTTGCACCACTGTCGTGTTCAACCAGGTTGATTTGAGCTAGCTCTTCGATGTCTCCGATAAAGATCGACACGTCGACCGCAAGGTTTTTGAAGCGAACATCAATCTGAACCTCCGAAGCACCGCCAACCAGCATGGCAGAAGGAAAGCGCGCCAAGAGATCTACAGTCTGCTGAAGGGTGACGGGACGGAGCCATATCCTCCGTTCGTCTGCATAATATAGCAACTGAGGGGTAAACTTCGCCAGACCAGGAGGGTAGATCAGCTCCGTCTGTGGCACATACGGAATGAAGTCAAATTGTGGAATTGCTGGAGTTTTCTCCTCTGGCGTGGTCAACGGAGACGAATTGGCCTTATCTGAGCTCGATGAGCATGAAAACGATGAAAGGCTATCGCGACAACATCCGCCAGGTCGCCCGCATGATTGGGCCGGAAGCACCGGCAAATCGACGGTTTCGTCTGTCTTATCCGTGGTAGTAGAAACGACAGACTCCAGGCGCGCCTGGAGGTCCTCACGAACAAATGTCTTGGCCGCTTGAAGAATTGGTTTGTATCCAGTACACCGACACAGATTTCCATCGAGATGGCCTTTCATTTCAATATCATCTTCGGAGAGCTGGAAGGTATCGGTCTGCGGGTTGTATGCGTTGCGGACGACAGCATACAGTGACATAACGATGCCGGGGGTACAGAACCCGCACCTGCAACGATTAGATCATAGCCAAACAAATGCGGAAACAGCCTTACTGGGAGCCATGGAGCTTCGCCAGACGCTCTTGCAAAGGATGCGGGTGTTCAACACTTCCTAAACCCTCGACGGTGATAACATGCTTTCCTACCACTGCAACATTCCACGGAACGGTCAGTACGAGCCATGGTTGGAGACTCAAGCTGGAGAACACCCACCTCCGACCAGCGGATACAGACAGGCATTGACTGCCCTATGGACTAGTTGTCGGCTTCGCGGATGTCGTGTCTGCAGCACCACTGTACAGGCACCACAGCCGCCCTCGCCACAGCCCAGCTTCGTTCCAGTAAGTCCATCTTGGGCTCGGATGAAGTCCAGCAGCGTCCACTGAGGATTTGGATCTCGGAGAGCGATCTGCGTCCCGTTTAGATAGAAGCTAAGAGTGGAGGTGGCATTAGAAGAGACAAGGTAGTCATAAAGAGGATGAGACGCATTCATGATTGCATCAGACTCATATTCGACAAGGGCCGACAAAATCAGGAGTGAAGCTGGGGAGGACGGAGGGGGGAGAAGAAAAGCAGTTGTTCTACACGTGATGCTGCAAGCTGCCCCCAATCAAAAGACGCAAAATACGAAGCAGGAGTGCCCAAAAGACATGGATCACCGACAGCTACCAAAGTACAGTACGTGGACGTGGGATCTACATCATCATGCATAACCCCGCTGCAAAAGGTGGGAGGGCAAGAGTGGGGGATTCTTTGACACACAAGTGGATGATAACCATCGTGGCCAGGCTAGTCAGCCAAAGATAGGGCTACGACAGCAGATTGATTAACTGACATGGGTAGCTCCATTGATGGGTTTAACTGATAGGCAATTGATAGCTATCCCTCCACCAACCCTGTCAGCACCTTCATCGCCTCATGCACCACCGTCCAGCGAACTGTGGCCAATTGCTGTGCCATTGACCGAATCAACCCACGCATATCATACTTATATCGGGGCCCCTCGTTGACTCGCTCTCCGGTCAAAGACACGAGCAGACTTGCCAGATCGAGACTCACCCGCTGCCCTCCAAATTCGTGCACTCCTCCTCCATGCACAGCCCAACAGGCCAAAGTTCCTAGGTACAAACACCACGGGAAGTGGAACGCGTCCATGGCCTCCCAATTGCCCTGACGGCCGGAAACAGCCTCCCGAACCATCCACGCCGCCTGTTTCGCCGCTTGCATCGCAGACTCCGAGCGCACCCAGTGGCTCAACGCCCGAGCCGACCGGTCGCGATCAGTCTGCGTGACCGTCCGACCAAGAATACTAGTCGCGCCCGCGCCGATCTGGAGATCCAGCACTTCCGCCTGAAGCGCTAGTTGCGCTGCGCGATACAGCACCAGCGCCGCGCTGTGGAAGACTCCCGCGCTGTCCGACGACCCGAGTTGACTCTCGCCCAGCTTCATCGCCAGCCCGTGCGCATCAAAATCTGCCTTCCATAACTCGTACGAACGGCCCATGCGACGGGTCCAGCTTCCCACGCGATCCGGATCCTCGCCGCGCAGGGTCGTTTGATCCCGACGTTTGAGATCCGCCGACACGGACATCAGGCCGTGCAGAACCACCAGTCGCGCGAGCGGGTTCAATTGTCGCGGTCGCGGAACCGCGGCGGGCGTGATATAGCCTTTCAAGACGGTCAGAAACAGGGGCTCGGATTCGGGGCTCGAGGCAAAGCTTCTAGCCCAGGCGTCTGCGGTCGGAGCGTTCCAGAGCGCCGACGCGCAGGGTAAAGCGGCACGGATCTCGAAAGCGGACATGCAAAGTGATTGCGAGAAGAGAACCGCATGCTGCACATCCCACATGAAGCAGTGCATGGCTAGTCGCTTCCGCTGCTCCGCCTCCATGGCTTGGTGCCAGCTGTTCGCGAGGTCCTCGTCGGATAACGCGGGGGACGCGGTCGAGCGGATCGTGCAACAGGTGCTGCGCCGAATGAGCTTAATCAGCACGCAGTGGAAGAGCTGCGCTCGTTCGCGTTGCCTGGGGCCTGCCCGCATTTTGCCGAAGCAGTCGATCAACAACATCGCTTGCAGAGTCCATAAGGGCGGTTGTGGTGAGAAATCGAGATGGCAGAAGAGCTGCGGTCGCAAGAAATCATGGATCCCCACGGCCAGCTGGTGAGCCTCGCGGCTGCTGTAGGTGGCACCCATCGAGAGGATCGCGCCCAGGAGAATGGGGTCAACTGTGTTGGGATCGAAGGTGGGCGCGTGGATCAGTGGATAGGTCGCATTGAACCGCGTGAAGAAGAGATCGCAGTACTGCTGGAGCGCTGACAGAGAGAGCAGGGCCGAGTCGAGGGGCGTGGGTTTGCCATCCAATCCCGACGGTGGATTACGAGCCACCAAGTCGAGTAGACCTTGACGAGCCTCATCTGAGAGACATGGGAGCTGAGGTGCTGGAGGGTTGTCTGTGGTTGTGTCCAGTCCACACAGCCAGTCAAGGGAGGTATCCGGGCTGCGCTCGACAAACGAGGCTGCCTGCAGCAGAACGGCAGATGGATCGGGGTCTGGAACGGTCCAGGCCAGCAAGTCTGGTTCTAACGGTATATCGAGGGGAGGGAAAGCGTCGTTCAGAGAAGCCACGTCAAACAGCCAGTTGTAGTTGTTCGTCGCGGCAAACGGCATGTTAAAATCGGTCGCTGTTTGATCTTAGCATTGACTTTTGCACGGCGGGAGAGGAGTTCATACCTGTATCGAGGTTGAAGAAATCCTCGATCGATCCTTGGTCAAAGCTCCAAGATCCATCGGCTGCATCGAACTGTCCCGGTATAGGCTCAACGTACGGCTCGAAGGGTCCATTGGGAAGCATGGGCGCTAGCAGCGGATCTGTATCTTCCAAGGACAGCGTCGTCGGATCACTCGTCGAGCGAGGCGGTGATACGGGCGCCCCGGGGATTGGGTCCGACTCGTGAGAGCTGGTAACAGACAATGCACACGAGGAGGCCGATGACAGCTCCATCGAAGCGACTGACTCCGAAGCAGAGCACTCGGGCATATGGTTTCTAAGAGCGCTGCCCCGAGACTGTCGTTTCGGCGGGCGGACAACGATATTACCATTATCAGCCCGGCGCGTCCTCTTGCGCGTCTCCAGCACTCCCAGCCCTGGTCCTCCAGCTTCTTCATCCCGCTTGGCATGGCGTAGGAGATGGCGACTGAGAAGATCCGGGCGATGAAAATGCACCGAGCATCGCTCGCAGACGTAGCCCTGGCGGGCTTGCTCGTGGTTCAGAGCATGGCGTCGCAGATGTTCAGCACGCGTGAAACTCTTGCCGCAGTCGGGCCAGTGGCAGACGTGGGACTTCATGAGGGGCCATTATCAGCCGGAAGAAAAACAGACACAAAGAAGGCGTGACCAACTCGCCGCCCGCCCCCCAACTCTGAGAAGATTAAATACCTAGCGAGGTCGTATGCATGGGTGCATGCATGCACGATGGCGCATTGATAAGCGGGGAAGAGAGGGGGTGGCGCTACGCGAATGACAGCCAGCGGATCCTCCCTCCTTATCAGCATAGATACGGAGAGACAGGCTTTGATATCAAGTTCGATAATCAAGTTGACTACCAAGGCTACTTTATCTACCGCCAGCCTATAGGAAATAGCGCCATTCTGGACTCCGCTCCCCTTCGGCCAAATGCCGAGTCTCCACGGCCTCTGCTCGCCGTCGCACGCCTTGGCTTCGGTCCCGTCGCCGATTCTCAAGTCTGAAATACACGCTTAATGCAGTTATCACCACGATGGCCACCCCATTACAGCAACATGTCGCTACGAGAGTAGGAATGTATCTATCACAATTAGCCTGGTGTTGCTCAAGATTGAGAGCGGACGTACTTGGGTGCATATTCCGTGCGGAAGGTTGCTGCACTCAGCACGCCGGCCAGATTTCCCAACCCAACCAAGAAGCCTGTATTGGCCGCGCGGGAGCTTTCGTGCACGTTATTGTTGTTGTGCCAGGCGTGGACCAGACACGAAGGGATGTACGCCCCCGCTGCCATAAGGAAGCAGGCAAAGTACGCCACACCTTTGTTGTTCAGCACGTCGATGGTCGCCAGAATGATCATTCCAATCAACGACAGGAACAATGAGAAGACCGTGTGGAATCCTCGCTCACGGAAGTAATCGGATGACCATGCGACGCAGAGAAGCACGACGGCGCCTACTAGATTTGGAGCGACAGTCCAGAGGTTGGTTTTGACTGTCGAATAGCCAAGACGTCCGACGATCTGGACGGTCAGTAGTCTTTCTCGGAGGTATGTGAGTGTAACTTACCAAGGGAAAGAAGTTCATGGCTGTCGCATACGCTACTGGATACGTGAAGGAGATCACACACCAGACCAGAAATTTCCAGTCAGAGAACATCTGGAACGCAGTCTTGAGATTCAAACCCGTCTCAACCTCAGCCGAGGTGTCGCGCAGGATTCGGGCAGTTGCAGCCGCTCGTTCTCGCTCTGACAAAAACCAGGCTTTTTGAGGTCCGTCAGGAAGCCAGAAGAACGAGACAATACCGGTCAAGAAAGTCATGCTGCCTTCGATGATGAACAGCCACTGCCACCCTTTCACGGCGGGGTCGTTGATCTGAAACACCCCGAACGAGATGAGGCCGCTGAATGCCGAAGCAAGGACGGCAAAGCACTGTATGATGGCCAGACGGAAACCCATCTGGTCGCGGGTGTAGAACAGAGTTAGGTAGAAGGTTGCACCGGCGAAGAAGCCTGCTTCAAAGACACTGAAACGATCAGCACCTAGACCTGCATGTTCGGGCCAGTCGCTTACCCCAAGATCATCCGCACCGCGATCATGCTGCCGAAGCTCTTCACGGCACATTGACACAGAGCTAGAACCCCCCATACGACGGTCACTTTCGGGGTCAGCTTCAATCTGGATCGTACCAGGGAAAGAACCTACTAAACGACAGCGTAATGCGACCGGAGTAGCGCTTGAGGAGAAGATTCCATGGCAGGTCGAAAAGCCCAAAGGGAATGTAGAAGAGGAGCACGAGCAGCGAATAGTCATTGCCCTTGAGATGGATATCCTCGTCGAGTCCGTCGGTCTTGGCATTGGCCAGGTTGCTCTGCTGCGGTCAACATCCCCTCTTGTTTGACATGAGGGTTGGCCTTACCCGATCCATGCAATCGAAGAAGTACATCTATCAAGTTCAGTATCTGGCAGTTTGGTATGATGGGGTGCATGCTCACCAGACATAGCAAGGGAAGCACGAATAAGTCCACCTTCCGCACTGCAACCGGTTAGGGCTGGTCTTGCAGCGCAGCGCTCGACATACCAACTGATCTCTCGGCTTCATGGTCAATATAGACCTCATTCTCGCCGGGCTTCATCTCGGACTCTGATGGTAGAGGCGCACCCTTCTCGGCCTTGTCGATGAATGACATGATGCTAGCAATGGGAGTAACACCACGCCCCCTTGCGAGGGCTGTGACGAGGCGGCGAGGTGATATATCCAATACTGGTATCTCCCTTGCATCTGTGGTGTAACCCACCCTGCCTATCGATATCCTTTCTGATAATCGACTATTCCCATTTCGACTTTCCCCGCATCCATGTTATCAGTCTTATCGTGAGGGCTGGTCCGGCCTCGTCAATCCCCATTCTTCGCCGTCCCCCACTCTTGTCCGCTGCTGAACTGCTCGCGTCGAACCCCTCGGTATTCGTTCCGAGTATCATTCACGATAGTGACCCCTCAATGAGCGATAAAGCCCGCGATAAAGGATATATTCACTGGACAATGGCAATCGACCCCTCACTCATCCAAGCTCGTGTTTTCCAGCTCAGTCAGCAAGATGTCTCCCAGCGCCCCTCCAATTCTTGATTTCTCCGTGTTCTACGGCGGCGATAGCGCTGCAAAGGCACAGCTCGTCGAACAAATCCGCGAATGCTGTCTGTACAACGGCTTCTTCCAGATCACGGGTCACCGCGTACCGCGCGAGCTCCAGCAGCGCGTCATGGCCTGCACGAAACGATTCTTTGATCTGCCCCTCGAGGAGAAGGTTCTGGTTGACAAGAGTACGTGCGCCCACTGATCACAGCTTATTTGTTTCCCGCGCTAATGCAAAGTTTCGGTAGATCACAACACTTGGAATCGTGGCTACGAATTGCTCCGATCGCAGATGCTCGAAGTCGGCACCGGGCCCGAATTGAAGGAGGGATACTACGTGGGCGAGGAGATCTCCCAGGACCATCCCTATTTCGTGCAGAAGAAGCTCAACAGCGGTCCCAACCAGTGGCCGCCCACCGTCCCGGACAAAGAGGAGTTCGAGCGCACGACCATGGAATACTACCACGCGGTGTTTGATCTGGCCAAGGACGTGCTGGGCGCATTGGCGCTGACGCTCGACGTGTCGGAAGACTACTTTGATCCCTTGACCGATGGGGCGGTCGCCACGATGCGATATTTGCACTACCCGGCCCAGCCGAAGGACGCGGACGAGAAGCTGAACCGGGGGATTGGCGCACACACCGACTTTGGTTGTATTACACTCTTGCTGCAGGACGAGGTGGACGGGCTGCAAGTCTTGGACGCGCCGACCGGCGAATGGCTGGATGTAAGTCTCTTGCCTGGAAGTCTTGCCAGCGGTTTGAGGAGATACTAACGGGAGAAGGTCGAGCCCGTGCCCGGAGCCTACGTCGTCAACCTGGGTAACCTGTTCATGCGCATGGCCAACGATCAGTACACATCCAACATCCACCGGGTAATCAACAAGTCCGGTAAGGAGCGGTACAGCATCCCGTTCTTCTTCAGCGGGAACCCGGATTACCTGTGCGAGTGTCTGCCCAACTGCCGGCAGCCGGGCGAGGACCCCAAGTACCCGCCGATCACGGTCGAGGAGATGGTGACGGCGTCATACAAGGAGAGTTACGGGCGAGCGGAGAAGTACAAGCAGGAGATGAAGGCGAAGATGGAGGTCGTGGCGCCGGTGGCGGCTGTCGGGGCGTAGTTCAGGCCTAGATCTAGTTGTACATATGAGCCTTTATCAAATCATCCAGTTCAACCCATGTCGCTTTACAGTGCTCTTCCATCCAGATTCCTACTTGCATTGTTCTTGCCACAGCTCGAGGCACCTGCGTCCCATCCTACCAATCAGATGGAGGAATGGTTCATAGCGGGAGGTGCTATACTGCCTTCAGAAGTGGAGGCTTGATATCGGACCCCCCACCCTTGGATGTTGTCGATAAGATTCCCGTGGCTCTTACTGCGTAATGCGGAGGTGGTCCATGCACCGCCAGCCCTAACCCAGCTCGTACAGTATTTGAGAGAGTACAGGACAGTCGTCGACGCTCCAAGACGTGATACGTGATCATACGGTCGTTTATCCCGAGACGTCTGAAGACAGCATCATGGACGACGTCCAACGAACCCCTCCCGAGAACGAGAGCCAAAGCATCAAGCCAGAGAAAGACACTGCAGACGTGATCCGAGAGACTCGCCATGAGAATGACAACCACAGTGTCGAGGCCGAGACGAAAGGCGTGATCTTCGACGACCCCGACGTGCAGCAGTTCTACGGCACGTCCACGACGGAGGCGTACCGCCTGAAGTCCGAACTCGTCGGGCGATGCATGGAGGAGATAGGGATGGGGCGGTACGCTGCCTCCTCGTTCATCCTCAGACGGACACTAACGTACACAGCTTCCAATGGAAACTCTTCGTCGTCACTGGATTTGGATGGATAGTGGATAATGTACGTCTTCTTTAGGTGCATCATCCTGAACAAACTGACCAGCCAGTTAGTTCGCATCCCAAGGCATCAGCGCCGTGCAGCCACCCATCGAGCTCGAATTCCCCGGTATCGTGCAGGTCAGCTACAGCTCCGTCGCCTACTACATCGGCCTGATCCTGGGGGCATCCTTCTGGGGTATCTCCAGCGATCTCATCGGCCGTAAGCCCGCATTCAACTGCACGTTGCTCATCGCGGGGATCTTCCTGTGTGGTGCAGCGGGGACGATGAACTTCGTGGGGTTCAGCGCGATGTGGGCGATGGTGGGCACGGCGGCCGGGGGGAATGTGCCGGTGGATAGTATGATATTTCTGGAGTTTGTGCCGGGGAGGTGAGTTTCCTTCTGGAGTTGGTCGTGGTGCGATGTATGCTGTACTAACTGGATAGTCATCAATGGCTGCTGACTGCGCTCTCTGCGTGGTGGAATCTGGGCCAGCTGATAGTCTCGCTGGTGGCGTGGGTGTTTCTGGCGAATTTCAGCTGTGCGGCGGATTCGACGCCGGAAACGTGTCGTCGGGGGGATAATATGGGGTGGTGAGTTCCTGCCCAAGATAGAGAGAGAGCTGGGGAGGGGGGTAATGCTAACGCCGTATCAACGCAGGAGGTACACCCTGATAACCCTGGGCAGTCTCTCGCTCGCCTTCACCCTCATCCGCACCTTCGTCTTTAAACTCCCCGAAACACCCCGATACCTCCTCTCCAAGGGCCGCGACCAAGCCGCCGTGGACGCCGTCAACCACGTCGCAAAGGAGAACGGCAAGCCGCCCCCGTTGACCCTGAGCATGCTGCAGGACATCGACGCCCGACTGGGCATCCCGTCCACGACGTCGTCCGCCCTCTCGACGACCGAGATCCTCCGCGAGAACATGAAAGACTTCAAGGGCGAGCATTATCGCGCGCTCTTCGCCACCAAACCATTGACCAGACACACTGTGCTCATCTGGGGGATATGGTTGACCATCGGTTCGTTTGCCCTTACCATCAAGTCACACCCTCGAACCACCCCCCCAAAAAAACCATACTAATACCTCAGAAAAAGGAATCGCCTACCCCCTCTACTTCAACTTCCTCCCCTCCTACCTGGCCACGAAATTCACCTCATCGGCTAGCCTAACAACCACCTACCGCAACTACTGCATCGAATCCGCCGTCGGCGTCGTCGGGCCCCTGTCCGCGGCATACCTGGTCACCACGATCTTCGGCCGACGATGGATGATGGGCCTCTCGTCCATCATCACGGGGGTGTTCCTGTTCGCCTACGTGGGCGTCAGCAACCCCACTTCCTCGTTGGCGTTCGCGTGCGTCACGGGCATGTTGGGGAATTTTGGTAGGCCTGCTTTTCCTTTCTAGCCCCGAACTTGATCCAGCTTATCCCAGCTTAACCCAAGCACCCACGTGTAATCTTCATGCTCATGATGGGTGTATGCAGAGTATGCAATCATGTACGCCTTCACCCCGGAATCCTTCCCTGCGCCGCACCGCGGCACCGGCACCGGCACGGCGGCAAGCCTGCTGCGGTTCGGCGGGCTGTGCGCCAGCCTCATCGCCTCGCAGACGGGCTTCACCACCGCGCCCATCTATGCCTCGGCGGCGCTGTGGGTGGTGGTCGGGGTCGTGTGTTGGGGCTTGCCGTTTGAGACGGCGGGGCATGGGTCTATTTAGTTTGCCTTTGTTGCTTATAGATTATAGATGGGACAGGGGGGGAGATGTGGGGAACGGAGGGAGAAACGGAAAAGGGGAAGGGGAAGGGGAAGGGGGAGGGGTTCTCTGGGTTATGCTGATGAGCTTGTGTTGTGATTTATGTGTATAACTGTCCCTAGTGGGTTTTAAGTGGGGCGAGAGATGGACTGGGAATGTTTGGTCTGTTTGGTGAGAATCGCCTAGGCGGAGGTGCTCTGCGAAGCGCAAGATGGAACCCGTGACTTTACCAGGGCCTCAGGTCGTGGGAGCGTGATGCGCGCTGATTGGCTGCTTTCTGCTCTATATTTAGTGACTTGGTTGGCTCCTTAATAATGCCACGTGACTTTGACTTTTCTGCTCAGTATCAGGGAAGGCCCCGCTGCATATTCAGGTTGTAGGTCTGGCTCAATACATTAGGGGTTTATCTGCTCTAAGAAAGTGCCTTGAAGGGTGTTTAGCAAGGTGTTAAATGTGCTAGACGCAGCGAGATAGACGTGGAAGCAGATGGATGCATTTCTTGTTTTCTTATGTGTGGGGGAGGTTGAGTATCTGGAGAGTGTCACGAGAGATTGACGGGAAAAGTGCTCCGAAAGTCATATGAAGAGTAGTTAAAATGGCTCTATTGAGATATTAAGGAGCGCCCAATGAGTGCTTAAAGCGTGTTCAAACAAGTCGCTCAAAACAGTGCTTAAGAAGGTGCAAGTACGGGCCTTGGTGCAGTGGTACACTGGGCCTGCTGGGACTTCCATGTCAGCTGTAGACAGACCCTCGTTAAAACTTTATGCTGGCACGTTGACTCTTGATTTGCCGAGTTCTGATATCTAAAATCAATTGGTCAGAAAGAGAGCTACTCTGTTTATAAAAGTGCGCTGTTTGATCAAGATCAACCAACGACACCGTTCTCTGTATATGTCTGGACATATATGGTGATTGGTCCTCCTGAAGAATAGTCAGTAGGTTAGTGTCACTAACAAAAACCAGGCCGACTGAGTCAAACCAAGTGAAAGACCACATTCCTCTTGCACGCACTCCCCAGGCACGGTTGCATCCGATGGAGCGGATGGAGCAGGAAGAATATCGAAATTTTCTGGTCGCATTCCCCGTTCGGCAACTTCCCTGCCGATCGCCCACAACCCCATCGCGCGCTGATCGCTTTTCCCACGCTGGATGCTCCCAACTCTAGCTTCGATCCCAGGGCAGGTGTCCACTTCGTTCAGTAGGTCCATGCCGATCGCATCTTATCAGATCTACACACCGTTGGGATTACAGAAGATATCTGGTCGCAGCTTATTTCCGGTTCTTGAGTTGGGGATGCGTGAAGCTACCGAGATAGGGATAGACAAAGTAAACATTATATTCTATATAGTCATGACATCGATGCGACCGGGGGCGGTGTGGTCGATCGGGGTGTAATTGTGATGGATTGTTCACCCTCAGTCGGCTATCGCCGGCCGTGGGGGTGGTGGCTGATGCGCTGAGTGAGATGGCTGTAGAAGTTGCTTGTCCTCCAACAACTTTCGTGCTGTCCTCATACGCATGCCCAGGGCTTAATGCTCCGCCTGCCAAGTCTCGAGAGATTTCGCCAGGATCCCAGTTGAGCGGTCTTGCTGCTGCAGTGTCTGTTAGACACGGCGTGGTCCCAACCAGTCGCTTGATGCGTGTTGGGGAGTTGCCCACAATCACTCTGAGATAAATCCCTCTAAATCTCAGTAATGGAGCAGCAGTCCTATGGCTGATGGAGCAGGACTAGATTGCAGCCCTACTATGCGGCGAGTGCACGGCCCTCCGACCTCAGACTTCGTCTCGTCAGACCTTCACCAGTCTAAACAGTCGTCACATGAACCTCCTGCTTCACGCTAATCTGTGGCATGTATGTCTGCTTCGGCAATATCGGAACCTGGTCCAACCCTGTGGAAGAATACCGATCATTACCTGCTTCGACGGTGAAAAAGGTGGTGCCGTACAAACGATCTTCCAAGGGGATACGGTCGGAATCCTGCCGCTGGCTCGACTGCAACGGCATCGACTTGCTGCGCTTGCCGCGCGAGGAGCTGGGCCAAGTGTTCTGGTAGGTTGACGGCCGGAACTTGCGCAGCAGGGGTCGGAGGGTGGCCATGCTGCCGGCGAAGATACCCAGGCCGGTTTCGATGTTCGACCAGATAGCGACAGGGGTGGTTTCGTACAAGAAATCGGTTTCAAGGAGCGTCGGGATGTAAGGAATGCGGACAATGACAGCGACGGACGCCCTGGTTAAGATTAGCAGTTGTCTGACGAAAGGAACCAGATTTCATACACGCAGGCCATGCTGAGCAGACCAGCCACCGCAATTTTCACGTCACTTTGCATCTTCAGCTTCCGAACCAGGAGGATAGGGAGGACTGCGATCGTCATGTCAAACACCGCCGAGGTTGCGCTAAAGGCATAGAGCGCATCCATCGCGACATGTGTGGATATGCAAGTGCCCTTGCCAACCTCCTCAGTGCTGAGACGAAGATACCAATAGGCCATTGGCTTGCATTGTGCGAGAAGAATTACGAAGAACGCAAACCCTGCAGCGACAACAAGGCCGACGACGACTCCAATGACGATTCGGTGGACTCGGTGGATCGTGATGCGTAGAATGAAGATCGATACAGAAATTTTGCATAGGATAGAACCAATCGCGTAGCCAATGTCGCAATAGAACCAATACTAGAGCAACCCGGTCAGTATTGACTATCCTGCGTGGTGCGTTGTTCACAAAGACATACCTTCATAGCGGTCACTCGATGGTGGTTATCCAATTGATCAAGGTGTTGGCCTGTCCCCCAAAGACTACCACCAATCATACAGGCGGAGAAAAAGACATAGAAGATGTAGGCCAAGACCATAATCCCATCGTCCCAGCCGAAAGCCTTGACGATCCGAAGGCGCACATAGCATCGCAGGACGGTCGTGATAGTTGCCAGGGCCAGGAAGACCGCGGCAACCGCACGCACGGCTAAGCTGCGATCTTCGGCCATGGTGTTGAGCAGTGATGAGAATTCCAAGATCCCAGACTGCCGCGCTGAGCCCGGGAAGACATTTTCTTAATATCTCAACCACGGCGTGGCCGGAAATGACGTCCCCCTCGGGGCAGAAATCAGAAAAAGTGCCTGACTTCCGTCGCGAGGGGCTTGAACCATGGAAAACGGGCGTTACAGACCCTCTCCCCTCACCAGTGGTCGCAATTCTGAGGTCCACTGTACCATCGGCCGAAGCAGGCCCTTTAGCGAATGATTGGTTCACCGGCTACAGACGGGCTGATTCAAGATTGACTATCGATCGGAATTCCATGCTTGCAGTGGAGCCTTCGCATGCCCGAGCGCTCGGGTAGAAAAATTTCCCACCGACCAGGACTCCAGCGCACCACCAGGAAAGCCGCGGCCCAGGCCCGCCCACGTGGAAAGGTTTGCTGTGGCCCTCGCTACCAGAATCCTGCCATGTTTCGGTTCCTCTCCCTCCAGATGGTTTGTCGCAGCCTCGCAGGCACTCGCAGAGTTACAACCCCAGCCGATGCTTGTCCCGGTAAACGTCTACCAGGCCCATCTCGGCAATATTTGGCGCGAACACTGGTGCTTACAGCTGAGAATGCACGGATCTCATCACGTAACAGTTAGATTAGTGGAGATGAGAACACGAGAGAATGCGATCTAGCCGTCCTTGATTTCGCTAGTCCGCTAGTATAATGGTAGGCTGTCGCCATTTATTGGCACACATTCATCAGAGCGACTGTCGCATCGTGATCAGAACTTTGGTCTGCGGTTGAGACCCATGTGTTCACGTGGACGTGTTCCACCTTTGCCCCTGTGGCCAGTGCCGAACTGATAAACATATGATCCAGCTGCTCACTGTTCTGGTCGTATAGGTAGGTGTATCGCTCCGTGGCCGCAAGGCCAGCAACCTCATCGATCTCCTGCAGGCCCACCTCTGTGAACACGTTGAAAATGTCCGTAAATGAATATTCATTATAATCGCCCGCCACAATGATTCTGGCGTCGGCTACCTCCGCCAAAAGAGAGCTCACAAAGTCCTGATTGCACCAACATGATTAGTTTCAACTAGCTTCGGGGGGAACTTGGCAATTTCACCGAGACTTACCGCAATCACACTAAGCTGCGAAGCTCGCTTCTCCACATCACCGTTGACAGGTGGCCGGAGGTCGCCTTCCAGAGACGTGCTGCCGTACTTGGAGGTCAGGTGCACGTTGATGGTGTAGAAGGTGTTCCTCCCATCCGCCCTCTCCCACTGCGCCACCAGGGGCTTCCGACTCGCGTCCCAGGCCTCATTCGTGGGGTCAATCAACCCCGGGTTGTAACTCAACGTGCCTCCGGACTTGACGGTCGTGCCCGTCGTGCTGGTGCCTGGGTTAGCGTCGCGCAACTGCACGACTTCAGGATTGTACAGGTAAGCACATCGGATATTGCCACCACTTTCGCCGCCGTTGGTGCCGTCGACCGGATCAATGTCATAGAATTCGTACTGGACACCGCCTTGCTCGACGATCGAGCTGACCAGCGTTGAAAGTGTCACATTGGCCGATACCACTGAGCAAGAATGAGCGTCGGGATTTCATCCCAGCGAGAGAGGGAGCACATACCACCGTCATTCGTCGAACCATCATTATCCTGAATCTCTTGGAGGAAGACGATATCCGGGCTTTGCAAATAGTTCGCAATATGACCAGCGACGCCGGGGAGTGTCGATGAGTCCGGCCCCAGGTTGTCCACGTTGTAATCGCCAAAGGTGATTTTACATTTCTTGTTCGAGATCAAGGACGTCTTGGGTACATCGGTCGCGTTCGAGGACGTTACGGACAACGCAGTCGACGGTAGCAGGGCGTAGTAGCCGTACGCCTGAGTGATGATCCCGGTGATATCCCCCAGTGTATCTCCCAACTTGACGTCGGTCGGGTTCTTGCTTCCATCAAGAGGCAAGCCAATGATGAGTGCTTCGGGGTTCGAGTCTAAACAACACACGAGTCAGCAAATCTGCAGCTAACGATAGAAGGTTCAGAGCAAGCAACCATTGACAGTCATCGTCAACCCTCCACGTTCATTCTTCCCCGATACCGCCCAGTCCCCAACGACCCAAGTATCGCCGTAAGAACTGGCTTTCGAGATGGCTGTCAGGCCCGACAAGCTGACAAACTCCCCGGTGAGACTCTGCCAAAAGTCCATCCCGTAAGCGGTGGTATCCAAGACTGGGTTGGCCGTCGAGAGCTGGCTGCTGTTCCCTGGCAGGCTGAACGGGTCCCCGTTGTCGAGCGATGTGAACTGCTCGGTGGGAGGGCTGCGTCCATTCCCGCCGATCACAATGGGAGTTACAGTGTTGCCGCTCGAGACCACCGTGATGTCGGTCGCAGACTCGATCTCGGTCAAGTAGACATAGCTGGACGTGGACCGATACTCTGTGACCTTGCCGCTCAAGGTAATGATGTCTCCCACGGTGACGCTCTTGGTCGCGCTGCTTCCATAGACATAGACCGAGTTCGAGGTCTTGTCGTCAGAATCGGGACTGGTGGAGCGCAGATAGAACCCAGAGGAACCTTTGGCAGTCACCAGACCTTCAAGGTCAGTGATCTGGGTACCGACATATGGAGAGATGTACCGGTCCCCAGTGATCTCGTTGATGGTGACTGCAACCGCGGTCTGCACCAGCAATGCGACCGTGGAGAGTGAGGGAGTGCGCATCTTGTGGAATGGCGCTCTTGATGAATGCTTCGTTGCTCTGAGTGCTCGATAGCAGCCATCATGGTGGTTTTAAATGTTCTTCCAGAGAAGCAGTGGCTCATGATTGCAGATGAGAAAGTGGGAGTTGGTCCAGTGAGGGGAACTGATAACACCCACGTTTCCCTTGAGCAATGCTGCAGCCAAGCCAAGCAGGTACTCGGCACGATGTTACCTCACTCGGGTGCCGGCGGAATTGTAAGATAAAAGAATGTATAGCACAGGCTGATATAACTCCCTGCCTATTCATTTATAACTTCATTTATGACTATCTAAATCCTGCATGATACCTTATCAACACCTTGGCACTCCTCAACTCTGCATAAGAATCATCACGCTAAAAACACACCATTCAACAGACCAAGCTTCTCACCCAGTCATGCGCCCACATTTCTGCAGGGTGACAACTAGCGCCTCACTACCCATGCAGGTACTATAGACGGCTATCAGGGTCATGCACTCCCATAATCTCGCACCTGAAGAACATCGGGCAGCGCCGCTTCCGCATGTCGATTACATCCTCAAGCGTACTTTCCCAGCATCTAGTTGCGCCCAACATCCTGCTTCAGAGACACGATGCGGTTCAGCACGACGCGGTCTTCCGTGGAATCCGAATCGACAGCCTAATATAGAATTAGCGAAAATAAATCCAGCAATCATGAAAGAGTGACTCACGAAGTAGGCCACACGCATGCCCTGGAAACGGACACTCTCCGGTCCACTCTTGCCCTTCTCCTTCTCGCCGGCAGCCTCCGGCCAAGGAGCCCTCCGACGGACCTCATCGAAGCCCGCCTCAATCAGAGCATCCTTGTAAATGGTCTCACTGTTGGGGTTGATATCGCTCAAAAAGCCACCCTCAGCAGCACCGGGGTCCTCCGACTTGAAAAGCGGGTCGTGGATACGGACCTCCACCTTGCGCGAGTTATCTGGGACCCACTGGATGTAGGTCTTGGGCTTGCCGCCCTCCTTATCCCAAACAGCCCGGATCTCGGTGACCTTACCATCAGCATCCTTGGTGAAAGTGGTGGCCTTGACGGGGTAGGGTGCGCGCCAGAGACCGACGCTCTTGCCCGGGGCCAGACGGAAGTAGCCCTTGGCATCCTCCTCGCGGAAATCCGACCGATCGATGTAAATGGTCTTGGTCAGGCGAATCTCGTGAGTGCCCATAGCAGGGTTCTTGGGAGAGAAAGGAATATCGCAGTTGAGCTGACCATCCTCAACCGTCTCGAAGTCCTCAATGACCACCGGAACGGGGTCAATCACAAGCATCAACCGGGGAACACGGCTCTCAAGGTATGTCCGGACAGTCTGCTCGAAGCGCGAGATCTTGATCAGACTGAGAGCAGTCGTCACACCGAGTTCGTTGATGAAGGAGAGGATTGCCTCGGGGGGCACACCACGGCGGCGCAGAGCAATCAGTGTGTACAGGCGGGGATCATCCCAGCCTCGGACGTATCCGTCATCCACCAGCTTCTTCAACTTACGTTTCGACATGACGGTACCACTGACGTTCAGGCGACCGTATTCGCGCTGCATGGGCTCGTAGACGCCCAAGGTACTGTTCAGCCACTCGTAGGAAGTGCGGGAAAGCTGGAACTCGGTCGTGCACAGACTGTGTGTAATGTTCTCGAAGCTATCACACAGGCAGTGGGCCTAGTGCAGTGTTAGCAAGCATCATCAAGCATGCTGAACCTTACATACGAAATCGTAGGTGGGGTAAATGCACCACTCGTTCTTGGTGCGGAAGTGCTCCTGCTTGAGGATGCGGTATGCGGCCAGATCCCACATCTGAGGGTTGGGATCCTCAATGTCCTGAAGCATGCGCAAGAAAGCGGTCTGGGGCTCGTATTTGCCAGCCTTCATATCCCGGAACTTCTGGAGGTTTGTCTCGACATCCTGCTCGGCGTGCTTGCAGCGGTATCTGGGGCCGTGGTTCTCTCCGCCACGCTGGAGCTTAATCTCGGTGTCGCTGCAGTGGCAAACATAGGCTCTGCCCATGGTGATCAACTTCTCAGCCTGGTCGTAGAGCTTCTGGAAGTTGTCGCTCGAGTGGGTGATAGCGGCGGGCTTAAAGCCTGTGAATCGACCCTGTCAGCACACATATTTCACGACCTCAATGCGCGCCTCATACCTAGCCACTGAATGATCTCCTCGATAGCCACAAAGTATTTCTCCTCCTCAGCCTCCGGGTTGGTATCATCGAATCTAATCATTAGTCGCTTTGCTCACTCGAGTCGGACACGATGGGAGGAATACCTAAGAATCTTTGCAATCGTTAGCAGCATCCCCAATTCCAATTCAGAATCAAACATACCGTCTTTCCACCATAATGTCTAGCGAAACCAAAGTTGACAGCGATCGCCTTCGCGTGACCCAGATGCAAGTATCCATTGGGCTCCGGGGGGAAGCGCGTCAACGGCACAACAGGCCGCTCCTTGTGCACCGCAGCCAGGAAACCCTGCTTGAACATGGCATCCGGGTCGATCTGCTCCTCCTCGGGCTTGGGGGCGGCCGCAGGCTTGGGGGTGGCCGCGGTCTGCTTGGGAGCAGCGGCCGCGTTGGCCGCCTTCGCCGCCTTTTTGGCACGCTTCTGCAACCGCTTCTTCAGCTCTCCCTTGGAGACCATCTCCCCGGTCTCCTCATCGAGCTGAAGCTTGGCCGTCGCTTCAACGACAGCGTCCGTCATGATGGGCGATTGGTCTAAAGGAATCGAGGATAGGAGGGCAAAGGTCGCGTGGTGTCGGTGCTGAACGACAAAAGATTGGACTTATCGGCGGGGTGGAGGGGAAACTTTCCCGTGCGTGGCTTATGTCATCCGTCGGGTGTAGATCACGTGGTGAGGTTCCGATAAGCGCCCAATTGATCGGCTTATCAGTATGGTCGTGGACCTTGACACAACTCTAAGTTGATTGCTTTTTTGTTGGGACGTCGTGCAAGTAATTCACCTCGCATTTATTGTTTGATATACTCTCTATAATAGCATAATCCAATTTGATGGTTCTTCAAAATGGGTATCTGCGTACTTTTCATGTTGTACGGACCCAGGACACCGCCACCGTGACTAATTTCGGGTGATTCATTATATATTGGCGTTCCGTTGGCGTCGGCAGGATAGTCACGAACCTATGACTCAATACCTAAATAGAATCCAAGGCGAACTCTGCCAAAGCAACCTCGATTTTGACTCTTTTGCTAAGAAATAAATAATTAACTCATCTAAGCGCAATTGACTAGCTAAAGCGTGTCACCGCGTGGGTATCGATCGTATGTCCAAATCATCAATATGTACAAGACAAGAACGTAACTTTTATCTCGGTGACACACTTTGTCGGGCTTTACGGATAGCGCAGTTGCCCAAGCGTGTGAGTTCGGCCACAAAGTCTGCCACCATTGTCATATGCGCCGCTTCGTTATCTTTCAAGCGTTGAAGACGAAATCCCTTGATAAGGTCGGGGACTGAGCCAAGAAGTGTAAGGTCTTCCTCCGCATGTGGGTCGAGTGGAAATAGCAGGATGTTGCAGAATATCGTGAGAATAGCAGACATGGGGTAAAAGGTGATCATCCTATTATGGTCAGTGCTTGGAGTTAGTCTATGGTGGCGAGTGTAGGATATAGGAAAGCAAGACGAAAAAGCTCACCAGAATGCCTCGGGAAATATTGAATCGATAGTCGGGCGCAGAAACAACAAGGTGGAACGACTTGCTTCCACCGCAAGTAGCATGCTCGAATTAATTCCCTCCATGACCCCAGTGTCCGTATTTGCCCAGGATTGACAGCGGCCCGCCGCACGATGAATCGTTACCATCAGATAGTGGTATTCCAGCCGAGAGACTATAGCTTGCATGCGGAGAAAGGGATTTTCATGATTCTCAAAGGAGTGCCCTAAGGATGGACGAAATTTGTGCGGGACGTCCATGCGCCAACGCTCCAGCTCGTCGTCGAGCTCGCGAATATCCTGCAAGAGCTGGGCATCGGACTTGAGCAGGGACTTGGAGGAGTATAGTGCCCGGTAGGCCTTTGACTTGATCACCGTCATTCGCAGGTCGACCGGAGAGTGAGGAATACCGATGTCATCAAACATGGACCTGTCGGCGCCTTCGTCTATAAGATATTGTATCTGCATGTAATTAGCGGGTAGAGAGAGGTTGCAGTGTTCGTCATCAATGATCGGCGGCTGACCCGATCGGAGACAGATCTCCTTGTCATGGGTATAGCAAAGCCAGAACAAGTTCCGCAGCTGCTTGTGATAACGCCAAACTCGATCCTCGACATCGTGTGGTGACGGGGGAGCCGGTCGCTCATTGGGTAAAAGCTGGGCTCCTAGGGAGAACATAACCCGACAACCCATGGCGTGACACTGATTGGCAGCTTGGAGTTGACCAGAGAAGACTCGATTCATGGTCTTGAAGTGTCAGCATGATTTGTACTTTTTTCTCGGGAAATCTCAAATCGCACAGGAAATGTAGACTGACCAGCATTAACATTGCTTGAAAGGTAGACAGGCTGACATCATTCATGATTTGAGGCAAGAGATTCTGTGCCTTGACTGCATAGATGTCCGCGTCCACAGTAGGGAGATTATCTTGAGGCCGGAGAATCATCGACATGAGTGCCAAAAAGGTCATCACACACGTTTTGGCGCTTATCATCTCCACCGGTGGAGGATCTTGGCATGAGGAATAGGCGAGGTCGACAGTCTCTTTGAACAGTAAGGAGTCGATAAGAGGAAAAATGAATCGGATGAAAGAAGAAAAGTATCGCTGGACATATTGATCTACGACGAACCGATCCGGAAGATCGGGGACACCCGCATAGCCATGCAGTGTATGTGAGAAGGATCTGGGTGGCTGTGGTGTCGGTCGTTGAGGCTGGGAGGGCCAAAGGCTGTTGAATCTCTTGTCTTCGCCGGTGCGTGACTGCACCCATTCCTGACCGTCAAGCGAGAGGCTTGGAATACCATTGTATGAGTTTAAGTCGCCCACATAGTGACCTGCGAAATGTATCTTGCCGAAGCACAGACCACTGTTGGAACGAGGCATGTAGTCGCTGGCTGAGGGACCATTGGCCGACGTCCGTGGGGGGCCGAACCAAGCGGCCGGATCCGATGGCCAGGACCCTTGGGAGATCAGCGACGTACAATTACGTTGGTGCTCATTGGTCGGCATAGATCGCACCAGAAGCTGCTCCAGCTTCGTTACCCTGTCCTCGAGGTCTTCCCCGGGTGGAAGCTGCTGTCGGGGCGGGCTGCCAGAATGTTAGATGACTTGGAAATGATCCGCATCGCACGATACGTACTGAGTCATGGGGTTCGGCTCATTGGCGGCTCTCTTGCGCTTACTTCCCCCTATGGGCCTATCGAAAGTGCAGTCCAGATCATGGTGGCGGCACCAGTTGCATGGAATGGATGGATCACACTGGATCTAAAGAGCGGTCAGGCAGGTTACCCAAAAGGCGCAAGAGGATGAAGATTTACTTTTCTCCGGTGGCACGAGTCACAGGCCCGGGCCGTGCGGCGCAAAGGGGGCGCCGAGGGGGGACCGTCACCACCATCCGAGGATGGAGTGGAGGTGGACATCTGTATGAATGAGGGCTCAAGGGTCTGTCTAGAACTGCAGTGGACCAATTGAGATTAACGGAAAACGTCCGGAGCCATAGCAATCTCGGGGATAAGGGGGTATAGGGCAGAGCTAGGATGGATGGCCGAGAGATTGAGTGGGATGCAGTCTCGGTGTGCGAGTGTGAGAGGTCAGAGGCAGAAACAGGCCCGCCATCGGCCCGCTGACTCAGGCTCGCGGCCGCTGACTCAGCTGCCGGCTCCGCCCAGCACCAATCATCGGTAACTCCGAGCATCCACTGTTGAGGCGGAGGTTTTCCCATACTCAAGGTGGAAATTAGTCCCGCGGTGTCCAAGTAAACTGATGGTGGAGTTTAAACCAGATTTGGCACCTCATAGCCATGGTTTGCGCTAGGTGCTTGACGTCCAGACCTGTTCTTTGAGGCAGGATGGACCCTGCGTCAAGCGTAGATGTTTTTATTAGGCTGATCGACAAATAGACCAATGTGTGAAGTATGCAATGCATGCCCTGCCAGGTAGTGTTCAGTATCACATAGTCGATTTAGACAAGATAATTAAAGAGAAATTAGTAGGGTGTACAAACAATTAGAGAATAAAATCATTCTTAGCATTGAAAAAGGATATCATTACTTTCACCAACAGTCCCAGACCTCAGAATAAGCCTACTTTTGAGAATTCGTTTCTCTAGAGCATAGCTTCCGATCGCCTTTGACGCTGCTGTGGGCAACAGCACATATTGCTGCTAATTTAGTCCATTCTGGTCATCATCCCAAGTAACGATTTCAACCTATCCGTGTCTGGAATAAACCCAAACATCGATGAAAATTACTTAAAATATGAGCCTACGAAGCAAAATTGACGTTAGACAGCCATATAGCTTCTGCTATATTCCCCAGCAGATAGTGTAAGGTAGCTACATGAGCGAATGAACCACAAGTTCAATGAAAATCTCCTCACTTCTCCGAGCTGCAATAACTCCCATCCGAGCATCCCCAATTTTGATGAAATTTCCTCACTTCTCTAAGCTGTAGAAATGCCCATCTGAGCATGACCTATTCGGCCTTCTTCTTCTTGTCGCGGGTCATCTCATCGGTGCCGGGCTTGACCAGGTGGCGCGAACACATGTGAGGGGACTCCTTCTGCTTCATCCTCTTTGCAGGACTGCATCTCACATTGGTACCAGCGCGTGCCTCGCATTGCATGAATTCTGTGTCTTTCTCACAGCCACAAGTGTACCTGATAAACATCTGCTTGCACATCTTGAATTACTGAGTTTCAGTTAGACTGAAGAGAATAGTCTCTTGGAAGATCATAAACTTACTTTTTGAGTTCAAATGTATAAGATTATGAAACTTGACAGAGGTTCCTGGCTGTAGAGGACTGTATTTGAAATTTTTAGTGATCACGGATTATCAGCGTTGACCTTGTCAGATATACCTTGGATATTTCAATAGACTGGAACTCAGCAATTGAAAGAAGCTTTTCTGGGTGATTTGCGATATGGGTAAGTTGGGTGGAATGGAGAGTAGATGATTTGATATTTGTTGGATCAGTTAGCTTGTGGGTGTTGATGCTCAGGTAGAATAAGGCGGGTGAATAACACAGAAGTAAGAGAGGGAAGTAAGGTGACAGGCCCAGCTTTATTATTCACATGACCAAATCCAAAGATCCACATCTTCTTATATTTCACATTTCACCTAAGCAACTGTGTTGCAACTTCTCACAACTTCACCCGGACGCTGCCTATCCTGCTGCTGCCTAAATTTCATCAGCTAAGATAAGTCTCCAGATTTCAGCATCAAGACTCAACATAACTCATCTTGAGGACATACAAGACAAGGTACCAAGAATATTAAAGCAATCTCAAGTCGAGGCTAATATAATCTTGAATCCTTAGAAAAGTGTCCACCGCAGAAATGAGTAACAACCTGGAGATTAAACTACTCAACTGCGAGGTCGATAAGAAAACCGAAAGCTACTTCCGTCTTCTGGTTGACGGCAAGCAGGTCAAATACCTTACTGTCGAACCAGGCACCTACAAAAATGCTGAGATGTGCTTTGGTCCAACTCTGTACTCCGTCCTCCCAAGATTTCCCGCCGGAAATTGGAACGATGGTGTTGTGGCTAAAGATGAAGACGGTCGCCCCTACTTCATACGTATCAACCTGACTGACTTTCCCGGCGTGGAGAACACCTGGCATGAAACCTCCATCGACTATCTGAACGTTGAGCTGGGTGAGAGAGTTCAATTTGAGGTTTATGAGGTCAAATGTCCACAGTTCGACGATATTGTGATCGCCAAATTCCAGCCCTGGTACTGGTATATGGATTCGATGGAAAACGAAACTACAGTCTACCAGTGGTTGAACGGCCACGGAATTGGGCCTCGTTTCCTTGGCCATTTGACTGAACATGATCGTGTTATCGGTTTCTTCATGGAGCGAATTCCTGATGCGCGCCACGCTGGACCTGCGGATATTGGCCTCTGCAGGCAGGCGTTGTCTCAACTACATGCCTTGGGGCTTCGGCACGGCGATACAAACCGGCACAACTTCCTTATTAGCAATGGAAAGGCTATCCTGATCGATTTCGAGGCTACCCACAAATGTGACAATGAAGACCTTCTTCGGTTGGAGATGGATGGTTTGTCTATTTGTCTTGCAGATACTTCCGGCCTAGGAGGTATTGTTACCCTTGAAGACTTTCATGGGACTTATGAAGAGATGATGGATCCAGACTGTTACTAGAAGACGTGTGAAATTCGTCATGGATAATTGTGACCGCTGACTGTACCTTTCGTTGCTGATTTGTCTGTTCATGGTTGAACTGATGACTGTACTTTTCTTAACTTGTCCACTTTTTATGATGCTCCAAGATAACTCTTTGATTACTTAGTGCATAGCTACAGACAGTCATCAAAAGATATCTACACGACCTTTCCAGCAGTCCAATAAGCTCAGCAACCTACTTCTGATACCCATCCTGCCACCGCACCCGCTGCACAAACCCCAACACCTCCCTCAGCTTTTTATTTGATACCGGCGCCTCTCTACCCACCAACTCCCTCGTAACCGGCACCCCAGGACAGACCCTGGTCAAGAACGCCTTCGTTGATTCCTCAAAATTCGTCATCTCATCATTGACCGCATTGAACACCTGAAACCCCAACCCATCCACAACTAACCCCCTCTCCACCATCCCCCCCAGATCCCTTGCATCCGTATACGCCCAACCATGCACCTTCCACTCCTCCGGCCGCTCCACATACCCCGTGAACTTCTCTTGGAACTCCTCCGGACTCACCACCGCTCCAAATCGATACACATAAATATCCGTCCCGGGAAACCGCCTCGCAAACCCAGCAGCAGTCTGCTCCCCACACACCTTCGAGATGGCGTACGCGTCCATCGGCCGTGCGGGGACGGCCTCATCCACAGGGAAGGAAGCGTACTCGACATCGCCCTCGGCAAACGCGACCCCGTAGACACAGATCGACGACGCTAGGAGGATCTTGCGGATGCCCATGTGACAGGCGGCTTCGAGGACGTTGTAGAAGGCCAGCACGTTTCCGCGGTACGTCTCGTTGTCGGGGACGATCATGTTGCGCGCGTAGCCGGCGAGGTGGATCACTGCATGAGGGGCTTGGTGGAGTGGTTCGCGGAAGGGCTCAGTCAACGCAAAGTGCGAGTGGAAAGCGCTGTGGACTTGGCCGGTGTCGGTGAGGTCGACGCGGATGGTGTGCACGCGGGCCGCGAGCGGGGCCGGCAGCGGGTGCAGGTCGAGGTTTAGGATGGTGTAGTTCTGGCTAAGGAGGTGGGCGATGATGAATTGACCGGCTTTGCCGGAGCCACCTGTTATGATGATGCGTTTGGACATAATGGTTTGGGTTGCTATGCTGAGGGGATGGAGGTAGACTACGTGGTGGTTTTGTTGATATGGAGGGGAGAAGGGCGGGGTTTGTGGGGGTTGCGGGGGATTGCCGTTTTGGGCGGATGTTTGTTTACTAGGTATTCACAGAAGATGATGGCCAGATACCCTGAGGAGAACAAATAATTGGATAAGATATGCTTATCACATCTCTGCCTCATTTTCTCAATTGCATGAACCTCCAAAAACGAAATTCTGGACAGTATGCTGCGCAGTAATGATACGTGCAGGATCCAAGCTGACATCACTAGTGCCAATGCTCTGTAATGATCCGCTGCCAATTCATCCCGCATACCCCTCACATGACATTACACCAACACCAGCCAAGCTAGTCCCTCCAGTCCTTTCGCTAACTTTCTCACCTTGACTTACGCCCCTCTCTTCATCTATCGAGAAAGAGAAACACTCCCTCACCAGAAAAAACCACACACCTACCACAGCCCCACAGAATGACCAAGCCCACCAATCGCCCCCGCATAGCCTGCTTCCACGGCGGCGGCTCCCGCGCGTCCGTCTACGATGTCCAATGCGGCCACCTCGCCAAGCTCCTCGAACCGGACTTCGAACTCGTCTTCTTCGACGGACCCTTTTTCCGCGACGCCGGGCCCGGCGTCCTCCCTGCCTTTCGCGGCTACGAACCCTTCCGCTCCTGGTTCACGCAGGATGGCTCCGGGACCGAGCTCGCCGACGGCAGCGGGTACGATATGACCGGTCGGGATGGCGTCGAGCGGATTTGGAAGCTGATGCGGGAGAGAGACCAGCAAAACCCCGGGGGTCCTTGGGTCGGGGTGATGGGGTTCAGTCAGGGGACGAGGCCCGCGGGCGGGTTGTTGCTGGATCAACAGCGGAGGGTTGCGAGCGGGGAGTCGACGACTTCAACAACACATGGATCGAGCTTGAAGTTCGGAGTTATGTGTATGGGGGGTGGTGCGCCTATGGTGGCGGAGAGTGCGCATCGTCTGTTCTGTTCCCCCTGACGGGTTTCTGATCAAAGACTAACTGTGAGGGTTTACTGTGATGGTCGCAGGGGCAGAATCCGACGCCGAGCTTGTCTCTATCCCCACGATACACGTGCATGGCTTGAAAGATCCGGTGCTGCCATTGAGTCGACATCAGCTGGCGACGTATTATGAGCCTAAGCGGAGTGAGCTGTTCGAGGTGGATTATCATCATGCCATGCCATGGGTGAAGCACGAAGTGGAACATCTGGCGTACCTGATCAGGACAGCATACAGGGAGAATAGCTGAAGGGGGTCTGAGACATTTCAGGAATTGGAATATGCATCCGAACAGGAATCAATCTTCACAGATAATATTATTCACAACTACGCCAATGCAGTCAAATAGACTTTTGCTCGTATATCATATCTCATGCCAAATCATTGGGCAGTCTTGCTTTCTTCAAACAGCGCAGCAGGGATCCCCTCGTCTGCAACTGCCTGAAGATCGTCCTCGCCCATCTCCCCATCCCAACCGTGCGCAACCAGATAAGCACGGAACTTCTCATCGCGGACCCGCAGATCCTCCCCGGAGATATCCTCCACGAAAAAGTACGTCACCAGCACCCCGACCACACCGCAGATCGCAGCGATAATGAACGTCCACTTTTTGCCCAAATGGCTTTCGATCGGCGTGAACACCTGCGTCCCGATCGCACCGCCTGCCTTGCCAAACGCAGCCGAAATACCATAGCACGTGCCCCGCACGCCGGTCGCGTACATCTCCGACGAGAGCAGACCCAGCATATTGCCGGGACCGAAATTGCCGGAGCTCTGCATCAACCCGTAAAAGATCACAAATAGGGGAATAATCTTGGTGATCTTATCGTATGCACAGCCGATGATCAGGCCGAACACCAGATAGCCGGTGAATCCGATCATCATGATGTTTTTGCGCCCGACGCGGTTGCACAGAACGGCGCCGAGGAAGACGCCGGGAAGAGCGATCACGCCCAGCAGGAGCTGCCATTCGCCGGTCTTCATCACGGAGCTGTCTTTGATGACGGAGGAGATGATCGTGCCGGAGAAGACGCCGTTGGGGAATGTGACAAAGTCTAGGAAGGTGAGGTTGTCAGTCAGTAACAGTAATTGTTTATCACGAAGAGATAAGAGGCTACACACCGTACAAGAACCAGGCTCCGCAGGTTCCAATCAGAGACTTCCAGTAGTATTTGACCACAAGGATGTAGGGGACATGCTTCTTGATCGCGCCGCGGCGGTAGAGGGCGGAGTTCATCATCCGGAACCGGAAGTAGAAGACAGACAGCGGCCAAATACAGCCAATACCGAAGCAAACGCGCCAGACGGTGCTGTAGTGCGACTGGTGGCAGGCGGAGAGGACGATCAGGAAGATCGCGACCGCGAATGGCCCGCCGAACGAGAGAGGGAAATTGGTCACCATGATGAAGGCCGGCCCGCGTTGCTTGGGGGTCAGGTCGTTGGCGGCCTCGGATGCTGATGTCGATGAAGCGGGATATTCACCACCGGTGCCTGTCAAACGTCAGCTACCGCGCTGAGTTGCGAGATGTGTCTGCACTCACCGAAACCAACGATACCACGCGCTACCGTCATCATCCAGAACATTCCGTCGATAGTGTACCCGTTCGATGCGGTGGCTAGTATTCCTCCCACCACGATCATAGCGGTTGTGAACACCAGAGCGGCCTTGCGGCCGAGGTAGTCACAGGTGAGTCTGAGTGATGTTTAGCGCTGGAGGATGGCTGGGAAATTGTTGTGGCTGCCTCTTACCCAATAACAATCTGACCGATAACTTCACCAACCAGGAGAGCGTTGGAGACCCGAGTCTTGACAGCCGAGGTGTACTGCTCCTTGTATTGACTGGCAAGCAGCACGTTGACCATCGTCCTAGCCAGCGGTTAGCTTCGTGAGACCATCTCGGCAGGAAACGCCTACATCAAGTTGTTCTGGTATCCATCACTGATCAGGGCAAAGCCACTGGCAATCTAAGATTCATATCAGAATGAAGTCGTCTGCATGACAAGAGACTGCGAAAACTCACAATTGTGATAAGGTCCGAGAGAGTGCGGCGCTTCTTCTGGGCTTCCGCCTCGGAGATGGTCTCTCCGTCATGAGAGTCGGCCTGAATGACGGTCTGGAGATCTCCTTTGGGAGCAAGTGAGGAGCCTGGTAGTGCTGACATGTTGCTAGACTACCTCAAGCGCAGTGACAGGCAATAGCACAGAGCCTTTGCAAAAAGATTGCCTTTGTGGTGAGGAAAAGTCGGCAGGAGGGCGAACAGCCCGTCCCTCGTGCTTTATATCCGGGTGTGGAGGCGAATGGCAGACTATTGGTGGAGGCATGCTGGATGTGACCTTATTCCTGTTGGAGTAGTCAATCCAGTCAAGGCTGCGATTATCGGTGCTATCTCTCAATCAGTATATTGGTTCATTCCTTGTCCTGCAGCCACTGGCAAGTCACTATACTGGATATAGACAGGGCCGGCCAACTTCACTACCGGACCAACCATAGGCAAATCTCGGCCCGTTCCCACCCGGAGAATACCCTCCAATCACATGACACAACGACTGCACGTTCCATGTTCTGGGCGGGCACGTGTAGCTTATCTTCGCTCTTACCACTTGCAGTGGTGTTAGTTAATGCTTTTCCCATCCATCAACTGTCCCCACGGCGAAGAGCTTTCAGTGTCTTGGCCTGCGCTTGGTTACTCGGGAGGATCACCTATTGGCGTGCAGACAGCCAAGAATGCGCCCACGTGAACAAAGCAGCGCCAACAACCGTAAGGCTGACCTTGGTTATGTGGCGCGCCCACCACGAGTCGTCCGGTCCCAATGGGAAAGTGCTCAGACGATCATGGATGAACCATGTTTCCTCCCGTTTCCCCTGACTCAATCCACATAGTCAATGAATTCGCTTCCCTAGGTCACACCTGTCAGGAATCAGACCACGCACGGTAACGTCTGACTACGCGTCGAAAGGCTTGGCAGAAACCATGACTTGAATGCGTTGTATTCTCTTCATCTATTGACATTCTGCAGCAATCGCTCTTGACCTAGTCTCCGGGTCATTTCTCTTCACTCGTCATCACATGCGGGTATCACAACCGCGATCGCGGACCACGATGAAGCCTATGCCACGCCTTCATCTGCCAAGCGGGCACGTCGGCCGGGCCCATAATCTGTCGACGGGTCCAATGGCCAATTGTCTCCCCCACAGTGCTTACCCGCAAGGGAGTGCGAAGGAAATCGTTGTAGCCCGTTGCTCTCTCCCGAGACAAGTTGGTTCCGGACACCGACGCCGTCAGTCCGATGAGCGGAATCGTTTGCAGTTGGGGATCGTTACAGAAGGGCGGTTGCGTGCGGATAATACGAACCAACTCGTAGCCACTGATTCCTGGAAGGGAGGTCTACACAATCAGTCAGCGGGTGCTCCAAGTCTGAACATTGAACGATGGTGTGACCCGGCAACACGCCTTTATGAAGATGATATGTGGCAGGGTAGGGGCCGTGGCCAAGTGGTCGAGGGCTGCGGTGCCAGATCCGATGGCAACCACCTCACAGCCTAGCTTTTGGCCGATGTGATGACACAATTTTTGGACGACAAGACTAGTTGTTAATAGCAGTTAGGAAGGGTACCTGCAGCAGCTGGGGTACTCTACTTGTTCTCAACGAATAGGAGCTGCATTTTCAGGTCGTAGTTATTGCTGGTGCACCTCCGAGGTTTGGCGCTGCTGCCAGAAGTGGGCTGTCAGACGTGAAACTGGAACATGGACAGGGTCTGTCGCCGATTAGATCATCAATGCTGACGAGGCTGTGTCTGGTCCGTGCGCTGCATTGGATCAGGTGTGGCCTTGGCGTGGGTCAGGACCATCCTATAGTCTGATGTAGTTTAGTATTAATAGTAGACGTTACGTAGGTCGAAGGGTTGGGCTCATAGAGACAAGGGTCGAGCTTCTTTTCTTCAATTCTCCAACTGCTCGCTATACTAACTCCGTTACCGCCAACATCACCGATCATACCTGACTGTGAAGCATTTGATTATCAAGCATAACTATACCTTCCAATGCGGTCATAAGAAGTTCCTTTGAAGTCAGCTTCGAAACTTGATCTGCAAATGCAAATGGCATTTAGTCCTGAACTGCACCATGGCATCTTATCTCATCACGAGATACTCAGGAGGGATTGGGCTGGCTCTGGTCCGTCTTCTGGCTTCCATGCCCAGTGCAGAGGTGGCAGTGGTCTTCGCAGCCGCATGAACGCTGGTGCATTGACACAATTGGTTGCGCAGTCTTCTGGGCGCGTTCATCAGGCTGAGATGGACATTACCGATGACCGAAGCATCGCGTCGGCAGCTGCGACCGTCGGAAAGGTCTTGGCTGGTTGGGGACTCAATGTCCTAGTCAGTAAAGCCGATGTCATGCCATTCACGCCCGACGGGATTGAGACAATTTAGGTGTAGATAGACTGCGATACCAACGCAGTCTGTTGAATGAGTCACTGACATTCAGCAGGACTGACTTGGACTCCACCTTTTCGCACTAATGTGACCAGCGCTCATATGGTTATGAGTGCCTTCTTGGCATTATCAAAACATGGTACTCTGAAGAAGGTGATCAACATGTAAGGACCTCACTGCTCAACCATCGCTAAGCGCTAATGTGAGACCTCAGATTCTCCACCTTTGGTTCCATCGCCAGGGCGTCGAGATCTGTCCGTGCCGCAAAATCACCAAGGCGGCCCTCAGCATGTTGACCGTATAATATGCCCAGTCTTTTGCCAGAGAGGGTTTCATCTTCATGATCATCTCGCCTGGTGTAAGCCTCTTCTACTCATCATGTCTCGCATTCGAGTTCTGACAATGTACAGTGGGTAAAAACAGATCTTGGAGGCAACAATGTCGAATTGACGCCCGAGCAGAGCGCCACCGCCGTATTGGTTCCCATTTCTTCTGCTACAAGCGCCTACAACAGCAAATTCTATGATACCTATGTAGATGGCTTGGACTTTCACGACGGTTCAGAGGTGCCATGGCAGCTACCAGGTAGTTTTGGTGCCTGAGGCTCAGAAGCCGAAACGTGGAAACCCCCATAACATTCAATATTCTTGGAGAAGAGACAGTACTGACTACAAAGTCTCTCATTGAAAGATGAATGAAATCAGCTGTTTTCTGGCGCCAGAAACTCGAATAGCAATCTGCTTATCTGGCTTCGAATTCTCTGAAAACGTTACGAATTTAGTTGTCGACTCCTTCCACATCCGACCGACCACTTCATTTTCCTGATGACTATGATTTGACTGCTATCCGCTATCGGGCAATAAAAGAATACTCTTGCTCTCTCCCTACTTTCTTTTGTCTCACAAGATCTCTCAATCAAACACTCTATTAGCAATTCAAGGATTGCGGCGCTGATCGTATACTCAGAGTTGGCCAACTCTACGCCTAGTTTACTGTCATGCGACTGACTGAATAACTGAGGTAGACTCAATGCTGGGCAAGGCAAGACCTGAGGTCAATGCAACCCCACGCCAACCGATCGTATGTTTGTCGAATCACTCGCTTATAATTAGGTCATTCTGATGCTAAAAAAAGACTTACCTGCCCTATGCCAAAGGAAATTCAAAAGCGGGGTGCTGTCGATCGCACGGCAATATCGCTCCCTGCGGATCGAATCCTGGCTTGCTAACCTTAACGAAACCTCGGGTCACCAGATCTCGACCTTGCTTTTCCTTTCTTACTCTCAGGTATCGTCAGAACAAATAAACCTCCTTGCTTCTAACTGTAATGATTGTTTGACTGTTAATTATTGATATCCTAGAATGATATATGGATTCCATCGCGCCCCCTTGATAGTGACCTCGATCTGACAGGTCACATACGGTTTGCCCCAGACTGGTTAAGAGTCCCTCATTAGGGCACAATTTCTGCTTAGGTGAATAGCTTGCGCTGAGACATCTAGTCCTTGGCAAGGTTACACTGCATCTGACTGTTCAGGTCTCGATGGCAGAACACGAATCTAGGACGTTGTTGACGTCGGACAGATCTGGTCAAAAGCCACGCTACCCGCTGTGCAGCGCCAATACCACCAACCCCATCAATATTGTGTAACCACAGCGAAGGCCACTTTCGCGGTCATGACACTACCCTTTGAATGTAGACATTATGTTGCCAGAAGTACCATCAATGGGTCTGGGGTGGTAAGTTTGGAGTTCGCATAATGCTTTTCGGGCACTGGATGGGTTTCGGTCAAGACTCGTATTACCCGCGCCGCGTTGGGGAGTATACGAGCTTCCGCATTCAGAACCCTCACTCCCATTATAGCAGATCATCACTATCACGATGTGACCTACGACGAACACAGTGAGCTTTCACAACAAGATCAAAAGAATATAAAAAGAGCTCGCTTGACCATCTGCTGTCGTTCATCACAAATCATCAAGCAATCGCCCCCAACGCCTACAACTAAGCTATCTACTCATCAACTCTAAACGTACTCATCCATCCTCCATCAAAATGACCAAAATCATTGCCATCCTCGGAGCCCTTGCCACTCTTGCCCTGGCAGCTCCATCTCCCGCAGGCGACGTCGTTCCTCGCGCCTGCACCACTATTCTCCCTTCCTCTATCGACGTCCTGGATAGCGCCCACCCGAACACTGCCAACGTCGGCCAGCGCTTTACCCTCCGGCGCTCCGGCTCCCCAGTGACCAACAATAAGATCTCTGCCTTTACCTTCACTAATATCCCCGCCGGAGCCACCGGCTGCACCCTCCAGGTCAACGTACCGCCGTTGACCACAGCCAACCAGATCGCCAAAGGCTCCAACCAGGCAGAGTTCTGGACGACCAACGCCTGGACCGCCGCGAACGCCCCGACCTGGAGCAACCCGCCAACCCGCGGCCAGATGGTCTCTACCTTTCAGTTCCCGACGGGGGTGACCACCACCCCGACCCAGCAGAACCTGGCGTCGAATACCTGCTCCAACACGATGAGCTTCTTGGCCCTACTGAGCGATTGGCAGGGGGCTGAGGGGCAGGTGGATTTCACGCAGGGCGCGGATCTTGGGTTCAAGTTGATCTATAACTGCTGATCCCCCCCCCTTCTCATGAGTAGTCTGGAGACTGGATGTAGTTGATATGATAGGAGGATGAGCGCATTGGATAGTAATGTCATGGGGGATTTCGGGGTTGTTTTGCCTGTTAATTTAGCTGATCAAAGAATGCGTCTATCTATCATCATGACGGAGGGATATAATAAATCAAGTGAAGATTTGAGTTGCGAAATTATGGCATCTTCTAGAGTAAGGGCTCCTGAGTCTCTGCTCCAGCTGAGGTCTCCAACAGACTCGATTCGGGAAAGACAGAAGTCGTTTAGGGAGGCTTGTGAAGGTCTAGGCTGTGAAGATGGATTTGATTTGGGGTACAGAACAACACGTGAACTTAGGTTTGGTGATGCATTAAAAATTATGAGAGAATGATTCCAATTTCATAGCAGTCAATGGAAACTCTGGTGTTGGAAAAGTTGAAGGTGGAAAGCATGCTAATTTTAGTCGCGGACAAAGAAACCGCAGCAGGTCCGGCTCATCCCGCCAGCTCTTCCTCTTTCCTTCCTTCCTTTCCTGCTCTCTTCATGCGCTTCTCAGCAGTTATCGATTCATCAACCATCATTCCTCGGTCTCTCCATCATCATCTTCATTCTCAGTCAGATCGAAATCACCATGACATCTGCGCCAACAATGCGGACACGACTTGGTGGGGGAGATGAGCAACAGGTAAGAACGCAGCGGCAGAGTCAATGCGACCGGACAAGTGCCAGAACCCTGAGGCTGGGGATTGATTCCGTCACTGAATCCTTCGACTCCTTGGCTTGATCACGGGACTATTGTCCCCGTGCAGGATTTGTTGCTATTCCGAAGGATTGTGCGGGGTAGGTGAGAAGCTTATTGTGACTTTGCTTCGTTGCCATTATCGTCGCGCTCGACTCGACTCGTGGGAAATGACATCGGTACGTAAGTCTACCTCAGCATGAGTTGGGACAAAGTTGAGCTTCAGTTGTGTGTCTTCTAACAAGCTGACGAAAGATTGTTAGAACCGGATTCGTTCTTGTCAAAGACTGACACTTGCACGTACCTTCCCCAGTCACAAGCTATTTTAACAAGCGATTATCGCCAGCTGTGCAAACGTCTCACACATGCGGAATAAAGCCCGTCCATGCTACCGTCTGGAACGAGCTGACCGGTAGTCGCCGCAGACTGATGAACGCCTCGACGATGATATACAACCGCGCAGGAACTAAGCACATGCTGATGAGGGTGGAGATTATATCGAGCACCCACGGTCGCCATCCCGGCGGTCGCTCCGTGGGCTGAATCCAAATATAGGTCAGCGACCGGTGACCCTTGAACCCTAGAGCTGTCAAAGCCACCCGCACCGTGGTAGCGAGCGGAAGCCCGGACGCCAGTACCAGGGCACCGATACGCCACAATAGCCTCTCCGTCGGGGTCGGAAACAGGTGGTTCCATCCCAGACAGTGGATGGCAGGATGTACCATCGCTTGGACCGTCACCAAAATCCAAGTCTGGCGGCGCATGTTGATCACCGGGATCTTGTCATCGGGCATGCGCTGCAGCGGTCCCTCCTCTAGGCCAAATTTCTCCAACGTGGGCCGACGGTGCCACCGCTGCATCGGCTTCTCGACGAAATCTAGGGGGGTGTGCTGAAACTCTTCCACGGAGGTGTTACCATCCTGACTCAGGATGGCGTTGACACTTCCATATTTGAGGTCGATATACGTGGGTACGCTGACATTTTGGGGCTTGTGCATCCAGAAGTAGTAGCTCATCATAGTCGACAGGACGAACCCGAGCGAGAAGAGCTCCAGCGGGGTCACGGATAGCCCCTGAATGACCCGTGCGATCGCCTGTACCGCCAACCAAGCGGTTTGGACCAAGGCCACACATTTTGCAAAGACATCTGCCTTGCTTTTGTCCCAAATCTCCTCCTCGGTGATAGTTGGGCACTCGATATAGTCTGCCTCCACGAGGTACTGGAGGGCTGCGGATGTGATTGGAAACGGGCGGTAGTCGATCGACCGCAGAACAAAGCCTCCGCTGTTGGCATAAAAAGCGTGCTTCAGTGTCCAGTGCTTGTGGCCCATCCGGTGCATCTGCTCGACGGCTTGCTGTGCGGCCTCCCACTGCATGGCCGAGAAGTACACCAGCAAGTCCGGGGCCAAGATGGCCAACATACCCCAGCGTATCTTGCGCATTATGACCACCATCAAGCTATCGTTCGGACCAGGGATATTCAAATGCAAGACGGTGTACAAAGCTGTGGATAAAACCAAGGCACATGACCAGAGGATGTCTATCGACCCGCGTACATTGGGCGCGTCAACCCAACCCGCTGTATCGGTACCATTGCTGGCCATCGCGCATTAGCCAGATTGCCGTCCGAGGGAAGAGTCTGCTATGAGTGCAGAGCGGAGAAGAAATTGACACGAGAGACGCATGGGTCGCTGAGGGACTGTCTCAGGACAGACAGCGGTATAAATCAGATTCTGTCCCCTCCTCCCGCTATGTACATCCCCTCACATGAAGCAGACACTAATTTGCGACGGACTCAGGTCGGCTTGGCTCTCATGCAGGAGAAGTCACTCAAAAGAGACAAGCGCAGGTAGATGGTGAGTTGACGATCAGAACACTGCGTTCATCTAGTGCCATGCCTTTTTTGCGGCACGCTCGATCCTCCAGAATTGTCTCTTTTCCGGATCTAACTATCATTTCTCCCACGCTCAATGGTCCGTTCCGCTGTGCTGATGGTTACACAGGTCAATTTTGGACAGGGTATCGGCTAAAAAGCAAGGTCATTCCTTCCTCCTTCACATGGCATGCTGACAGGAGGCGTGAAGAATGCGACCATGGCAGAAGATGGTCAGCGAGCAGATAAAAGTGGAGCAGAAAGACGACGGAGCAGCACGGGAATTCACGGCTGGATCAATTGAGTGTTGAAGAGCATTGGGGTCGACCCTGACTAAGTGGAGATCGGCAGGTGTGAAGTGAAAGTCCCGGGAAGGATGTCCCTAACGGGAAAGGATGGACTTGCCGGCACTAATTTAGAGTCTTTGGGGCCTGTTTAGAGGCACGACGGTGGATGTCGCTGGTCCACCACCACTCATCCACATTGGCTGCTGCAGTACTTGGGGGCCAAAAGTGAGTCTCCACCGTGTAGGACGTCTTTCTTCAATTGTGCCCTCATCTATTGACAATCTAATTTCATTATACTCATGTAGGTCTGGGCCTGCTGTCGTCGTACAATTTTCCGTGAGCACTAGAGTACTACTGTGGTAGACACAAAGGCTGAAACCCCGTTCTCCTTGCTGCCCCAGACAGGGTTCGCCTGCATTTTCCACGTGCATCTCCGCGACCGCCTCATGGCAACAAAGTTCCTACGTTTGGCGAGCCAGTCCAGGAAAACATAGATGGGTATTCAGCTTGTGTCTTGTTGAGAACTTGCCAGTGCTGATACCGCGCACGTTCCGGTTTCGTCGTCGTGCTTAAGCTCTGTGGCAGGTCTTGGAGTCTGAGACATGTTTCAATCGCACATCATTCAGGAATGAGTCAAGCAACACAGCCAAGCAGACTGAGATGCGGTGTTTTTGAGTCTTGGCCTGTCAGCAATTCGTGGTCAATAGCAACCTGCCCTCAACCACTTGCCTAGCCTTCAGTGTCCCGATCGAATTAGATTAATTGTGACAGGTGCAGTCCTTTCTATTTGATCACTAATCCGTCCCGACAGGGGCATCCCTTGAACCACACAATACCCCTCTTGCGTTGGCGGAATTCGATGATCGTCTCCATTTTAGGTCGGGTGAAATATGGGGGCTATGCACTTGTGGATTAGTGAACTGTTGCGAGAAGTCCTATCTACTCGGCTAATGACCTGTACCCCCGTCTTGATAAGGGTAGCGCCTGAGCGATCCGTGTGCGCACCGGACAGCTACAGACCTCTTGCGGAGCGCACACCTGGAACTGCGATCGCTTTTAGATTGCTTCGGATTGCTCAGTAAGTAATCGCTGAGCGGTTCCCGCTAGCTGACTCTGGTGAACGGAACAGACTCTTCAAACCATGCGCAACCTGTTCCGTAACGCTCCTATATATGATGGGTGCAAATCGACAAATCGAATAATCAACTAATGCAAGGGCAGTCAGAAACTCCAGAAACTCGCCTTTGACAGCTTGGTCGTCGCCCTTGGTCTCATCGAGATTATCTCAGCATCATATTGCTTCGGAGCCTGTGCAAGCCACCACGCCCAGCGATTCCGCCTAAGGAAGCAACTGTCCACAATGTAAGATGGCAGGCATAGTTGACTTTTTCTCAATCTCTTCGGCACCAACATAAAGTAAAGTGAAAGTGAACAATACAAAAACAAGAAAGATCTCGCAGACCCGACGCAGTCTGTTTTGCAGATTTCGGGCTAATACTTCGTCCTATTCCTCTTCCTCCTGCCTTGCTAAGCACAGCCATCGGCTGCAAGGCTTTGGGCATTGGCTTCTCCAGAGCTCATATGACGCAGAGAAGCAACGGCTATAGTCATAAAAGAGCTCGGTCAGTATCATAAGATTATTGCTCTTTGTGGTTATAGTATGTTTCTATGTTTTCCTAGAAAGCTATAGTACCGTAGACAGTGTTTTCTTTTTTGTCCTAGACTAATCACCTAACGTGATTACCTGCTGTACGATTTTACTATACCGGCTCTGGTTCACCCTGGACCAGTTCCCCACGGAGGTAGTGTATAGATTCTTTCGGTCTGACTAGATATAGAACATCGCAATCAGCAATCATGAGGCATGGCATCCGGTGAGATCCAGGATCACGCAACTTACATCCAAAGCAATCCAGTAATGATCATCGTGGGTTGTGATATCATTGAGTGAAGATAGTGTCAAGCTCTGATCGTCAAAGCCAACAGCATAGATGCTATGGCTACTGGAGCCCCTCACTAAGAGGTGGTGCAGAGTGGCCGCCTACTGCAGGCTAGGGCTGCGAACCAGAAACGCATGGCGCGACTGAATGCCCTGTGAAGATTGATCCCGTTGCAAATCCAACAGAAAGAGGATGCTGTCTTCACGCCTGACTTGCAGCGGAATATCAGGGCGCACCTTTAAGTTGCGGATTGTGACCTGCAGTACCACAAAGCTCCGAACATGAACTGGTGAGGAGCCCCGTATGCTATATCCGAGTATATCCGCCCCAGTCTGGAGCCCAAACCGGGAAGTGAGTGGCGTGGACTTACTCCGAATAGTCGAAGCCGATGCTCTGAATGTTTTGGCTGAGAGGCTAGAATGTGAACATGCAGGAAATGGGGGGTTCTCTGAATCACCAGAGAGCAGCCGTGAGCTTGGGACACCCATGGTCGACATCGAGCCTAGGATACCCTATGTAAGGGAAACAGAAACCCTAACGGCACATGCTTAGAGAGCTTTTGCCGGATGAGCTTGGCTATTCTAAGAGAACGTGAGAATCATAGGGGAAATATGCCCGTGTTAATCCAAGACTGCCAGTGTGATTCGGCCTCTTTCCGGTCGCTCAGTGCACCAAGTATGATGAGTCCTGACTCCAAGTTATCATAGGAGACATATGAACGTATTGACGGGGAAGATCGGATTTTGTTACGGAAGACGTGGTCAGGGTATACTGTACATACTGTACACATCGATGCTTCTCCAGCAGCATCACATTTTGTAGAAACGAAAAGGTAATACGGGTGAGCAATATTTGTCTGGAGGAATTCAATATCAGACGGAGTTAAACTGCTACAATTGTTCTACCGGAGCTTCTTGAAACATTTCTAGCTCTTGGAAGGTCAAAAGGTGGGCGACCCTTGGGTACACTGATAATTTCGAAGATTGAGAATGGTTCCAAAATTGATGCCAGTGAGTAAAATCCACACGACCTTTGCCTTCTTTTGTCCGGAAACCCTTGATGAGCTCGTTGAGCGTTTTTCTGACAACCCGACAGTGCCGTCCGTCATCACCATCACCTAGGCTAGGACTCTTCTCCTGTGTTGGATAGCCATGCTGCGACCCGGCACTGTTGGCTCGGAGCCGGGGGGGAACGAGAGAGGTCTCAGCGCTGAGCGGCTTCTAGATTTGTGATACGGTGAAGGCCCACCTACTGTACTTTACTTTTCATATATCATGTATCTCATCAAGATGGATTGTCCGCACGCACCTATGGGACCCACAGTGCTGCACTAATCACGAAGGGAAAATTAAGGACAACAGCTGACGCCTAGCAAAGGATAACAAAGCTCACTAGATCAGAGGAGGGTAAATTGATAAACAAAATCTAATATCCAAATTGAGGGGGGGGGAAATTATCATACGGCACAAAGATGCTCATGGACGACGAGCGCGCCATATAAATCCATTCGACACTTCATCATATTATCTCAGAGCTTCATATTATTTCTCCTTGGTCTATCAAAACTCGGAGGGTCAGCCAAGCTTAGTCTATTTTGGTGAGGATTTCGTACGAATCGGCAAATATTTCTTGCCCGACCTGATCACAAGAGTGCGCTCTGCCCCGGTATCATCAGGATTCTTCTTGGGAAAAGTGTTTTGGTCGTTGGTGGTCTGATTACTGTCAGCTTGCGCTCCCACATTTCCACCCATTATGCAAGTCTCGGGAGTTGACTCACCTTTAGGGATGATAAACCAATCTGCCTCACGCAGTACTTCTGGGAGTTGCTCCAGGTCCAGCTTGGTGCCCTGGAACACCATCACGGTCCAGCACCGGCGCCCGTCGGGCAGAAAGTCCTGGTCGGTGCCCCAGACGCCGGGGATCCCGTACACTCGACCCGCGATGGCGAGCCCCGTCGCCTCGAAGACCGCCCAGCCCGCGATCTCGACATCCACGGGCCGACCGCCGTATTCGTAGGGGACCACGCTGGATAGCACCGCCGGGTCGAGGATGTGCTTCAGGGGGCTGAGATGCTCCGCCGGGACCGTGCAGATGCGGTCGAGTTTGCTGTCGCTGTGGCTGTCGCTAAGGTTGCCTGCCACTACGTCCCGCAGTTTCTTGTACCATTTGTCGTCCTGGCGGATCTCGTCCAGAAGCTTGAAGTAATTTGTGCCCTTGAGGGTGCTGAGCTTGTCGCGTTTCTCTTGGAAGGGCTGCATTTTGTGTTATGTCGGTGGATCGATATTCGGTAGATATCAAGATGATGAGATGTCGACCGGGACGTGGATGGTAGGGTGGTGATGGAAGCAGGTTGAGGGTTGAGGTTTATATTGGATGTATTCCTTCAAGTATCCTTCTTGAAAGGACTTATTAACGTGAACATTTCGTGAGGGTCTTTATGATATTGGTGGAGATCCCCATCTTTTTCTCGTTGAGCAGTGTTTGTGTGTTATGGCGGGCCTGGTGAATTCTTTGTTTTCTCACTAGCAATGCATTTGGAGGAATCGGCCAGAGAGTGAATGGATGATACTTTGATAGGACATGGACATGCTGAACAGTGGACAGTTTTGGTCCTGGTTGGGCTGTGATACTTGTTTATCGGGAAATGCTGTCAATAGATATCAGTTCTCACCCAGCTATGAGAGTCCGACCTTCTCTGGACTTTACACAAACAAGTGACGTGGTTCTTATTGTGAAGAGCCGTTGAATATCCTTTTATAACTGCCATTACGATCCAGAATAGCTATTTTGATCTCACTACTGACATTCTGTACATCTCTAGCCTTACTTTGAGCTCACTCATGCTTTTGTTCTGACACGGTGCGGGACTTAGAGCCACCAAGCCTGGGATCGGCGGCCATACCATATCCTGTCTCACCGACTTCTTTTAAGTCTTACTTGTCTGAAAGCGGTATATTGTATCCTCCGAAAATAGATGAAAATTCTTATCATCTTGTGCTGTATTCTTTGTACCTGTTCATAATGCCGTTGGGTTTGAAATGAGTACTAGTCTGTAGTATTGACTCTCCAATGTGGGTCCTGGCTCTATTGCGTATTCATTTCGATCTTGCGTGTATGCACGGTACAGGACAAGATGGGCAATACTCGAGCTCAGTCCTAGGATTAGAGGTCTCTTGCAAGGGCTAGAGATTTAGTATGCTAAGGCTTCAGCTTGAAAGCAGCTCTAGTCCTCCACGTGCGCCTAATGCAATCAGTATAGTGGACCGCTTGGCTTGGGCGGAAGCAAAATGCAGACTAGTTGCGATCGGCGTGTCTATAAGCTCGATCGTATGTTTAATTGTCATAGTGCAAGGGTAGTTTCGCACCTTCAACAAATCGTCTTGGTGGCGCAATTGGTTAGCGCGTACGACTGTTAATCGTGAGGTTGAGAGTTCGATCCTCTCCTAGGACGTTTGGTTTCTTTTTTCGGTCAGAACCGGAACGTTTTTTTGCGCTTCCCTGTACAGTACACTCACAAACATCCGTGCTCCAACTCTACCAGAAGACATCTCATGATGTAGCTCCTTGTACCGGAATAACTTTTCATTGATGCCAAAATCTCCGGCCCAAAGCTTGTTTACCCCGGACGAGTGGATCACATCATCATCATCCCCGGTAAAGCATAGTTACGTCATTTCGTGGCACCCACCACCACCTTCTACCTTCTCCCCCCGGAATTCCTGTATCAATCACATCCCCATTCGACCCTCCATTCTTCTGAAGTCTATCCAACGCCCACGTGTATCCTGATCTCAGTACCTCCAACCGACGCGGAAACTGCTACCACTATCGCGATCCGATGTCCGTCTCCTTCCAGGACCTGGGGACCTCCTTCCTCGGCGCCTTCCAGGCCTGCGTCTCCGTCCTGCTGACGCTGGCCTACGGGGTCATCGCCCGCTACGCCGGCCTCGTCAGCGAGATCTCCATCAAGGACGTCTCCGGCCTCGGGATCAAACTCTTCTTCCCAGCGCTGATGGTTGTGAGCCTCGGGTCGAATCTGCATCTCTCTAGCATACTAAACTATCTTCCTATCCTGGGTATGTTCGTCCCCATCTTTTGCTTGCATCGGCTGGCACAGTTGTGTGAATGGGTAAGTGGGTATACTGATAGGGCTATCTAGTCTGGAGCACGATCGTGGTCTTCGTCTCCCTGGTGATCGGCAAACTCGGCGAGCGCGTCCTGCGACTCCCTGCGTGGGTGACCGCCGCGTGCGCGTTCAACAATACCACGGCGCTGCCGCTGTTGCTCATCCAGTCGCTGGAGAGTACGGGGAGTTTGAAGCGGTTGCTCAAAGAGGGAGATAGTGTGTCCGATGCCGTGGATCGTTCGCAGAGTTATCTGCTCATCTGTGCGGTGGTGAGTAATCTTCTGACCTATGTGGTTGGGCCGAAGTTGTTGCAGCAGGCGGATGCGGACAGTGACGATGCGGAGGGGGGTGAGGGGGGTGAAGAGGATGGCGCGGATGAGCAGAGCCCGCTGCTCCCTGCGTCTGTCCGGCGGACGGGCGCGCAGATCCGGGGGAAGTCCCGCGCGGCCTGCGCCCCGCTCCTCCGTCTGCTTCCCGACAAGCTGAAGGAGGAGGCGCTCTCGTTTGACAGCCCCACCGTTTTGAATATGTTGCTGGGATTGTTCCTCGGAGGCCTGCTGGGCCTTACGCCGCCGCTGCACCGCGCGTTCTTTAATAAGAACGAGGACGGTGGGATCTTCAACGCCTGGCTCGTGCTGAGTATCAAGAACATTGGCAAGCTGTTCACCACCCTGCAGCTGTTCATCGTGGGCGGGAAGCTGGGTGTCAGCTTCCAGAATATTCAGCGCAGCGCCAAGAGCGGGCACGTCCCCTGGCGCGCTGTCGTGTTTGTCTTTCTCGTGCGGTTTGTGCTGTGGCCTGCGTATGTTTCCTTCTCCTTGCTGGCATGAAGTGCATTGCTGACGCTGCCGCTTCGGGGCTGTAGGATTAGTATCTCGTTGGTGTATGTGTTCGCTGCGAAGACGAGTCTGCTGGGCGATGACCCCATTCTCTGGTTCAGTATGATGCTCATGCCGACGGGGCCTCCGTCGTTGGTCATCTCCGGGCTGGCTGAGCTGGCGAATGTCTCCGAGGAGGAGAAGTTGACGGTTGTCAAGGCTTTGACGGTACGTGCTCTTGTTTGTGGTTGCGGGGTGATCTTACTGACTTCTGTGGTTGTAGAGCCAGTATCTTCTTTCGCCGTTTACGTCCTTCACTGTCGCTGGGGCGTTGCACGCTTCGGAGAAGATCTTTGCGCAGTCGGCTAAGTAGGTAGGAGATTGCTTGACGATGGAGTACGAGGCTGTGTAGATTGTGTCTTGGTTGGAGGGTATATAATCATGGTATTTTGGATCGGATAGAGGATCTGGACATGCTATGGTCCTTAGTAAGATGTTAGAGGGGTAGACATAGAGTTGAATAAATTCAGAATGTCGATATACCCAACTAGCAAATATCGTAGTCCACGATAGCAGGAGATTGGAGTCGGTACTGCGTTTGAGATTAGCAGTTTACATGCGACCCAAGTCACAGTGTCCACTGATCAAACACAATCCCCGGCTCCACGCCTCCCCAAAAGTTCATCTCGTCCCCAAGTAAGCCCAAATCATCGGACACCAAACCCGACAAATCACCTAGTTCCGAGGGAGCGAACGGCGCGCATGACAGGCCTGATTCCAACACCTCATCCAAAATCTGCAAGAGTGCTTTGCTCGTCCGCTCACACAGAAGTCCATGCACTTTGTCTGTCTTCGCGATGGATTCCAGATGTGACAGGAAGACGCTGAGGTCGCGGATCAGCGCCGCTCGCGATCCGGCATAAGGAAGCGGTTGGCCCGTTCGGCTCTGAGTCTGCAGTGCTTTCACTAGCACACTGGCGCTGGGGAAGCCATAGAGGAGGATCTGTGTACACAGTAAAGGTCAATCACCTAGATTGCCAAGGCCTTTCGTCTCAGAGCATCTTACAGCTCAAATGAAATCACGGCGCAAGTCCACCGTGGCGGCCTCCCCGTATGTTCCTAGCGTCAACACCGTCGAGAGGATTTGCGCGCTGACCTTCAGCAGTGCACCCTGTGCTTGACTGTCTTCGCGTAAAAGCAGCCTCTGCACGAGGCAATCGTCGTATAGGTGCGCCAGGTGGGCGACTGTTAGCATGAGGCGCGCGCTCACGGAGAGGCTGCCCGGTTCCCTCCATGCAGCTGCAGAGGATCGTAGGTGTTTCGGCAGGGAGGACCAGGTTTGTTCGGAGCGGAGGGAGATGTCTCTATGTCTATGTTAGTATCTCGTCGTGTGTTTAAAGGGCCGAGGTGCTACCTTAAGTGTGCGGCGGTGTCGGCGCTGGGTGGGCGGAGAGACAATTCGAGAATCTCCTCGCGGAGGGTGCCGAGCTCGAACCGTACGCGGATCCACGATGCTCGCTGGAATACCGGGGGCTCTTGGAGGCTCCATCCGCTATCGTCCAGCGTCTTGGCGATAAATTGTCAGTGTGCGCTGTCGGTTGTGAGGATCTCATCCGCGAGATCAAGTGGGGGCTTGCAGTCAGAGTGGCGGATGGAGATACGCGGGGGTCGACCGAGGAAAGTGGCGACCGTCTTGTCGAGCTGGTACGCGGCGGCGAATATGCGTCGTCGAGTTTCGGCGAGGAAGATGGGGAGATCGTTGGATTCGCGGTGGAGACCGAGCTCGAAGAGGGTGGTGGAGAGTTCGCCGAGTCGGTGCCATGTTGTAGAGCCAGTGCAGAATCCATTCGTCAGCTTTCCAATCCCAAGCCAGGTTCTGGATAAGCGCACTTGTATCACCATGCAGCAAGCCAGACAGAAGTAAGCTCTCGTGCTGTAGCCATACTGTCAAATCATTGGTCGGTGTAAGGAGCCGACAGACCTCGAGGACCGTCTCACACATCGTCATCATTCTCCGAGGGAAACGGACCTGGTAGTCTGGGCCGAAATGTCTGGACACCTTGCCGTGAGCCAGCGCGAAGCAGCTAGCTTTGCCGGCGAGGGCACCAATAACGGCGATGATCTCGAGTCGAAGATGGCGACCGGTGAATAACTCATGAAATCCACTACCCTCTGTTGTCGGTGGAATCACGAAGCGCTTGCTGGTGATGTGGAGAACGGACGTGGCTGAAGCAGTGTCCCCTAACAAGGAGGCTAGTGCGTTCAGGATAAACGGGGCGGGTATGGCGGCGGACTGGCTGAGTCGGTAATACTCATGCACCAAGTGCTCGATAATGGGCAGTTCCTTCAGCCAGCGGAGAATCTCGGCTACTTTGTGTGCCCAGTAGGCGGGCAGTGCCTCTGCGGCCTCGGTCTGGGTGGCCGTAGGCGGCTGCTTGTCGGTATCCCGAGTCTCTGCAAACGCATCGAGAAAACTGGTCGGTCCCAGATTCCCTGCAGGAAGCGGTGTCTCAATTTCAGGGTTACACGCAGACGCTTTGAAGGGCGACGGTTCTCGATTCAGTCCTTCGACCGCGATCACGTCTGTCGTGGCTTCTTCTTGGTCCTGTAGCCTTGTTTCACCGTCATTGAGCAGCATTGACCCAGGTTGCAGAGTATCACTCACTCCTGTGCATTTCCACCATCTGAAAGGCTCATTCTCGGGTCTTTTCTCTCCGGCTTGCGCGTCAAAGGTGCAGGATGATAGAAGCATCGTGTTGCCGTATCCCGTTGGAAGCAGCGCGAGCACACGGGGATTCCGTGGTCGCAGCGTACCTTGTCCTTCCGGCATGGTTCACACGAAGCAAATTTGCCGTTTCGTCGTCGAACGTTCTTGCCTACTCCTGGCATGTTGTCTGGTCTGGTAAACTGATTCACTGCGAGGGTCAGATCTGAAGTGTGGTATCTAGTTGGTGTGTGTTGTTCGGAGATGCAGGACTCACATGGACTATGGTACAGTACCATGTGAGGGTGAAGGGCCTGTCTACTCTTCGAAGCTCTCCAGCTGCCACAGCCTGTGAGATGATGAAGTCTGCATCCTGTGGCACTTTGCGCGTGCCATTGTCATGAATGTTCACTTGTTAAGCTTATCGTTGTTCCCCTCCATTGGTCTGTATTCGGTTAGCCTTCGGGACTCGGTTCGGCGTTCGGCGTTCGGAGTCCGGAATTAAGCCTAAGGCATCATCTACCCTTGCCTGAGGCGTTGCATCATTGGCCTTGTTGCGAAGGACCTTGGGAGTCGGCACAGAGGTATAAGTTGGCAGAAGCTAGTCAGCTATACCTCAATTATCTTTCTGCTATATATTAACAAGTTTTGTTAGCCCAGAAATTCTTGCGCTTTCCGCCACACCTCTCAATGGATACGCTGTGTCTTCACATGGTTGTGACTGTTGTGACCATATGAGTAAGCCAGTATGGCCTTTCGTTCCTGAGTCGATGAGTTCTTTGGCGTGGAGCTCCATAATGATGCTTTACATCACTAGATGCTGGGAGCTATGTCATCGGAGCAATTATTCATCTCCCCTCGACTCGAGCCAGGTCACACTGCGCGCGGCACTGAACGGTCAATCACCGAGTCTAGACCAGATCTTTCATATCCCCGTGTCACCATGATCAATGGAGATTAACATGGCTTGGCCGTCGAACCTGGTACCTCAAGCATGACAGGTCGTACCTTATCCCGGTGCCAGAGCCAGGGCTGCTGGGGCGGTGTTACCGGGGAATGATGAGGGGCGTTGGATTCGGTGTCTCGGTGTCTGCTCCGAAGCGGGGTGGAGATCGTGATATAAAGGTGGCAGCTGGAGTGGGAGCTGCAACTGCCCCTCAGCTCTCAACACACCCATTGATCTTCTCCTCCCGGCTCAATATCCTAGTCATTCGACGCCATGACTCTCATCGGAAGCTGTCTCTGCGGCAGTATCACCTACACCGCTGAAAGTATGTTCACCCCAGCCAACCAGAACCGTGAACTAACCAAGTTCCCCGCAGCCGATGAGTACCTGAAAGCGCTCTGCCACTGCACTGACTGTCAAAAGGTGCGTCCAGATAAAATTGCTTGCGGGTCATCAGGCAGGCTGTGCTAATCTCCTCCAGTGGACCGGTGGCGCTTTCACCTCCAACGCAGTCGTTCCCCGCGAAAGCTTCAAAGTTACCAAAGGTACAGTGCAGACAGATCCCAGTCATAACCCCTCAGTCAGCCCTAATTCTTACAGGAACACCCTCCTCCTATGACGTTGTCGGTGCCAGCGGCAAGATCAACAAGCACTTCTTCTGTCCGACTTGCGGATCCAGCTTGTACACTGAGCTCGAAGTCATGGCCGATAAGACGGTGATCAAGGCGGGTACTTTGGACAATGGCGACACCAACCTGGGTGGGAAGGTGGATATCGAGTTCTACGTCAAGGACCGGCCGTCGTATTTGGCTGCTGTCGAGGGCGCCAAGCAGGAGCCGCGCTTTGGTTGAGGGGTCGGTGAATTCGAGTTGTTGATTCTATAACAAGTTTTGAAACTATCAGAATGAATGCACATGACGTATATCAGATTGTGGGCTTGAAGATAACCGCACAGTGGTGTAGCAGGGCTCTGCAAGACACTCCTAAATATATTGGTTTAATCTAACTCTAGTGTAGGCTACTCTAGAGCAGCAGCAATCCTGCCGAAAGCCAAGTCCAAGAACTCCACGGGATGTGTGAAAACAATCCTGAACCATCCGTCCTTCTCCGACCCAAATAACGTACCACTAGCGAGAAACACCCTCTTCTGCAGTAGTCGCTGCATCACCTTCTCGCCCACTACGCTTCCCGCCTCTTCGGGATGCAGCTCAACATACCGCTTCCCCAGGTTCACCCACAAGAAAAATGCAGCATTGCAGCCAGGCGCATACTCGATCCCCAACTCTTTGAGGCGGCGCGTTGCATACGCATACGTCGTAGACAGCTTCTCCTGATTCCTAGCAATGTACCTCTCCGTGAACTCGACATCCTCGAGAAGCAGTGACGCCAAGTGATCGGCCGTCCCGGAAGTATACGAGTACAGTGAGATCCCGCCCAGAGCCACGTGAACGTCCTCATTGAACTGAGAAATGATCACACCCATTCGCAGCCCGTTGGCGCCAAAGTCCTTGCTCAAACCCCAGAGCACATGGACGAGGCCGGGGTCGATAATGTCGGTGAGGTCGATGGAGAGGGCGGATTCAAACGCCACCGGTGCTGGCGCCTGATCGACTGTGTTCTCCCACACGGATAGTGCGTATATCTCGTCGCTGATGAAGTTCATCTGGTACTTCTGGCAGAGTCTCATCAGTCCGATCAGCACATGACGTGGGTAGCACCGTCCCAGCGGGTTGTGCGGGTGGCAGAGCATCAGCGCCTTGACTCTGCGGCCGGTGTCGGTCTGGAATCGCAGCAGAGCCTGCTCATACTTGTCGACTGCCTCGAGGCTGAACGGGTCGCAGTCGTCGAAGGCGACCTGCACCACCGACGCACCGAATCGGAGCGAGAGGTCAGGAATGAAGGTCCCGTAGAATGGACGGCCGAGAAGGATCCCTTCCCCGGGATCACAGAAAGACCACGCTACGTGCTCGATGGCCGGGGAGACCCCGTTGGTGACGACCAGGTGGTCGGCCGTCACGGGCATGACGGGGCTGAAATGCCGGTTGATGAACGCGGCCATCGCGCGGCGGAGTCTCACGGAACCGCCGCCACCGTCGTTGTAGGTGAGGTATTTGGCTGGGAGCTCGAGGGTGCGGTTCAGGTGTTCCAGCAGCGTCCCATGCATCAGCGAGTTCTCCGCTACCCCGACGTTGACGTAGCCATTCGGATTGGTTGTCTCGCACCAGACGTCTTTCATCACATCCCACATGACATTGTTGCTGGCCTTCTGGATTACATCCTGCGCCCTTTGGGACATCGCTGATGTCGGAAGTGTTGCTGAGGCCATGGTGATGTGGTCTGGTGCGTTTGGATTTGTGGGTAGGTTGTTTGAAGACGGGAAGAGCCCGGGATCTAGTGACTGTATTAGATGTCTTCAGAAAAGCCGATGACTCGCATCAAAGCAGCTGGCAGGACCCGTGCGTCCAATCAGATGCTCATCACCCCTATAGTATGCAGGCAAGGCCCGTATCACTGAGGAGAAGGAGTCCGTGTCGGATTCAAGAACCGGTATTAAGTGAGTCACATCTTATCGACAGGATTTCTGCAGGGTGCAGACTCAGGTTTCAGTCGGTAAGGCGCGGGACCAGAGTTGGAGATTTGGGGAAGCAGAGCTTGGTAGGTTATGCCAAGGCGAAATGTGGAGATGTTGGAGACGGTGTGGATCTTGTAGGTGGAAGCAGCTTTGAGAACATGGTGTCTAAATGTTGAATGTCCAAGTCAGGCGGTTGAAGGAGTTGGGATTTGAGCTGAAGAAGAGTCTCAACCATGAAGTTTCCGAGTGTTATCTAGGTATTGATGAGATATAACGTGAGTGGGCGGAAAGGAGCGGACGATGCAGGAAACGGCCATTGGCTACTAGAGAATTAGTGTGCATTAGCCAGGATCACGGTGTATGCGGTAGGATTGAAAACTATGTTACAATTAAGGAGCATTACTCCAACAATTGGGACGATGGCGCATCTGGGAGCGCGTCAGACTGAAGCACTAACTTCGGCCATAAATCTGAAGGTGGCCGGTTCAAGCCCGGCTCGTCCCATTCGGTTTTTGCCTTTTTTTGTTTCGCATCATGTCTGTTATGACTGCGGGATCTACGTTTTGATTTCTTTTTTTCTTTTTTTTTGTTTGTTTCTTCATCTTTAATGAGCTAGAGCTAGCTTCTCAAGATCTATTTGTGTCAGCTACTCGAAAAGAAAATGATTTGAGGGGATGTTTATCGTATTCGTTAACATTTCCTCAAGCACTCAACACTTTACAACGGAAAATATATTTTGAATGCCAGGTGCCTATTTCCATCCACTACTACCAAGTAACCCAACATAATTCCAACAACCACCAAAAAAAGAAATAATAACAAAGAACTGAAATCAAGACATTCAATATCGATTGCTGAATAGTCGCAATGCACCTGCTGGTTGAGCACTGCTTAACGAATGGTACTGCAGATGCGGCCCGCCTGGGGCGCCGCCGGCGGTTTCCTGTTTCGGCAGCTGCTGCAAGAACCCGTGACCATGGACCGTGGATGCCCCCAGGCTAGCGCAGCGTCGTCCTCTTGTCACTCCTTCACATCCTCTGCAATATCCAGCATACTTCTAGTCTCAAGCATCCTCATCCAAGGCAGCATAGTCTCAAGCATCCGAAGCAACCCTCACAATGTGATCCATCTTGCCCCCCATGTTTCCACGATCTCCCTGGCTTCATCCACCAGACCCAGGTCCAGCAATAACTGCACCGTGCCGCGGAAGGCCGAGTCTACGGCTGATGAGAGCCACGCATGCGTATAGGCCGTATGCTCTCCAATAAAGATTGTCTTGGACTCAGTCTGATAGATTGCTGGCAGGAATGTCTTTTGTTGATCGCCGAGGGGAGACGCCCAGGCCCCACCTGTGAACTCATCGTTTTCCCAGCACAGACGTTCGTATACTCCTATCAGACCAAAAATCAGCCATCTCCATACCGATGCCAAAATTCAACCCACATACCGGTGTACTCTTCATCAGCAACTTTCCCATGAAGGCGAACCATGCCCCGCTGCGCCAGAGCGACGTGGTTTGCTTCCCCCAGCGCAGACATCGTCCGGGCCATGTTACCAGTGGTGAAGGAAGCTAGAACCACTGCCGGGCCCGTGCTATTCACTTGATACGGGGGATAGCACATATCGCCGATACCGGGATAATTGTCCACACGGGTGCAGCCTCGGTATTGCGCATTCTTGCCGTCCTCCCAGAACCGCGAGCGGTAGTGCAGAGCAACTTTACATGATTGCGTGAAATGCAGCCGATGAATCGCCCAATCAAGGAGCTCGGGGTATTTTGGCAACTTCCAGGCACGCACCATGCTGAACGGAGCAGCGACAACGGCATAGTCATATGGTTCATCCACGGTTTCCGGGTCCTTCAGATCATTGCGCCAAGATAAAGAGATTTTGTTTGGGGATACGTCATGGCTCAACCCGATGATTCGACGGCCCAGCGTGATCTTGTCCGTTACATGAGGAGCGAATGCTCTGGGTAGCGACTCAAATCCTTTGTCCAGAGTTTCCCAGCTTGAGGCAGCGAAATATTTGTTCCAGTATAGGCTCTCCCAGATAGGCGTATCTTCCCGGTCGGCGATGTAATTAATCATCTGATCCTTCCGGCTCAGGAGCTGGCGCAGGTATGCGCCTTCAGACCAGTGCGTACTCCCCGCAGCCAAGGCAGCCTTGTGAGCCTGAAACATCTTGTCAGCTAGGAACTCGGTATACTTCTGTTGATCGCCTTCATCCAGGTCTTCAAGCGTATGGCTCGGCCCGTCCGCTTTATCATTAATCACGTCGAAAGGAAGGAACTCCATCTTTAACTCCGGGTGCTGGTCGGCATTGAGTTGATTGAGCTTGTCGATGAGACTGATCACTAGTCGGTGATCCTCAAACGGCAGGACCTCGGTGGTGCCGGTGTATCTGATTTTGGTGGGTAGTCGCATGGGGCCCATGTCAAAATATTGATAATCTTCGGGCGAGGTGCCATTGAGGTAGCCTGTTCGGATTCGCCCCCCTAGGCGCTGTGAGGCCTCGTGGATATGCCAGTTGTGCAGCCCGACCGAGCTCAGCAAATGACTGGTCAAAAGCCCCGCGATGCCTGCGCCCACGATGGCGATACTGGAATTCTTCGCTGCAGCGCTATTCACCACCGCCTTGGCGTGGAACCGCGATCGAGTGTATTCGACCGCATTGAACCAGATTACAGAGTCCCTGTCGATCTGAGAATCTTCTTGAGGATGATCTGGCGCTCGTTTCAAAGAGATAGGCGGCGACCGACCGACCACGGCGCAGCCGTGGAAGGCAAGCAGACATTGTGATTCCTGTGCATTGGAGGGCACGAACCATACAAGCCGATCTGGATGTTCCGTACTCTGCACCTCGAAGCTTCCCACTATCTGAGTTGCATCGGCTGCCTGTTCTAAATCACAGTCCCCATAGACGATATGGAGTTTGCCTGCAAAGCTCTCATGTGCGAAATTGAGTTGGATGTTTTGGACAGACCCGATCTCAACAAGGTAAGGCCCGAGAAATTGAATCAAGCTCGCGTCTGCGTGACCTTGGTGTGTCTTCGCCCGACCGAGTGGAAATTGCAGGCCTTGAGCGAGGTCAAGACCTGGGAGGAGGAAAAAAGACAACAGACTGATTCGCATCTTGAAAGTTTATTTGACAAGGAAAATAGTTCCAGGCTACTAAGATGATGGCCTACCATTAGAGTACAACCCAGGCTGATCTCAACATTTTATGTTTTGACAGTTGGTAACTTTTTCGGTTGCTTAAGCCATAGCACCCATTGCCACAACGTCATTTCGTCAACAAACACATTCCACACAGCCAATCAAGCTTCCATTGTCGGATACATTTACTCTTACTTACATCGAGCCCCGTAATCTGTGTTTTTCTGGTACTGAATATGTGGTGGGGAGCGATCACCCTCATGGCAAATCTTAACTCTATTCTGTCGGTGATGCATGAAACTGTGGCGATCTGTCTGGGTCGGTGACACAGTATGGCTTAATCTAGGACTAACTTCAGGCAACACCGGTTTGTGAAGCCCAGAACCGACCAATGGAGTTATTTTCCCGCAGGTCCAGGCGAGGATGCACTGGACCTTTCGCTTTTTGAGTTACGTGCTGCTACGCAAGGCGGCTGTTTCTATATTGGGAAGACGCATGATGCGCACTGATAATATTTCTCTATGGGTTGTGATCAGGTGCCACACTTTCAGTTTACAATTGTCATCAACACTTCCGTCTCTTCTACTGCGCAAGAATAGCCGCGCTGATTTTCTCAGCTAGCATGTCTGCAAGAGGGATTAGCACGATTCATATATGACCCCCGATGCGACCTTGACTCACAGACTGTGCTAGTAGGGTGACCAGGAGGCAGAAGAGGGAATGCACTCGCATCGACCACACGCAGTCCCTGGACGCCGTGAACCCGTGCTTCGCTATCAACAACTGCCATGAGATCCTCCAAAGGCCCCATTTTACATGTACAGGATGCATGCCACACTGTGATGACAGAGTTGCGAATGGCGTCAAGGATCTCCGCGTCGGTTGTCACATTTGCTCCAGGATAGTATTCCGGCCCAGTCGTGATCGACTGCAAGGCGTCACTGGCCCAGATCTCTCTGGTTCGCTTGAAGATGGCCAACGCAACCTCGATGTCGGTCTGGCTTGTGAGCCAATTCGGATTGACCACCGGCAAATCCTCGGTGGAGTTCGAGATGAGGGTGATGTTTCCGCGAGATGTTGGCGCAACAAGAGCGCCGACTATGGATGCGTATTGCCGTCCATCTGTGGGCTGACCTTCTGCGGGATTGCTGTAGTTTCCAACATGCGCATCGAATGCAATATACTGCCACTGTCGTCAGCAATCGATAGTTCAAATCTTCCTCCTTATAAGAAGATCATACTTCAGCCTGTGGCCAATCAGCAGGGAAGTTGCTCAATTCTTCTTGTGTTCCGGCGGAAAGCTCGGCATGATAGGAAGCCGGGAGGTTCTCCCAGGCGAGGAAATTGGGAGCATAAGTCATTGGACCATCGTGAGAAGTCTGATATCTCAGAATCTGTTCAGTCATATAGGTTGTGTCCGTGAAGAGCTTGGTCAATGTCTCGACTGCGACCGGATAGGATTGAGCAAAAAAGACATGATCCCACATGTTCTGACCCACGCCAGGCAGGTCGACAAGCACAGGGATCTCCAGTTTCTCCAACTGATCTCGAGGCCCAATGCCGGAC